CCCTCCCTCGCCCCCTTAAACAAGCGTCACCTGTGGACTGAATTTCTTGTTGTTTCACGACTTTTCTCTGGGATTTTTACTCCGGGTTCTTAAGTTCAACAAAACTTCTAAATTGTAGACTACAAGCGGTCCCTCTGGATAGTGAGGCACTTTTCGAGTTCTTCCCTCCCAGAGCTTTCCGCGGCACATTAGCATCAATTTTTGTTACTGATTTTTTTACTCTCGCAACAGACTTCGCCGAAAAGGGAGGACCCCTCGTAGTCTATTCAAATTCCAGTCCTAGTAACGGTAGACAAAGAGCCACTTTGGATTTGTTTCTGTTAAAATCCATTGAGATTCTTAGTAGTCCTGCTGGTAGGACTTCGACTATTGAATTTAACTTTTAAATATATAATTTTTCAGATGTATTATTGGGCACTGCAGCCGAAATTTCCGTCTACCTCTTGATGCTTTCTTTCAAATTCAGTTTGAAGCCAGGAGATAGTTAAAAAGTTCAGGATTTCAGTTCTGAGCAGTTTTCGGATTATCTTTCTCTCTGTTTAACTTTAGCTCAAGTCTGCACCGCCAGCGTGGATATCATCTATCTCATGGACTCCTCAGGAAGCACCAACGACTTCGAGAAACAGAAAGATTTTGTTCGAGATCTGGCGCGAATTTTCAGCCTCGAATCCAGTCGTGCTGCTGTTGTCTCCTACGACGACAAAGCGACCGCACGTGTCAACTTTGATGACTTCGATAGCACCTTTGAATTTGCAAATGCTATCGACCGCATTAGTCAGACAAAAACACAAGGGGGATCTCGGATCGATCTTGCGCTGGAGAAAACATCGGATATGTTTGAATCTGCGCGGACAAATGTCCCAAAAGTGTTGATCGTCCTAACAAATGGCACTCAATGGCACTCGATGGTACTCGACCAACCAGTTCAACTCCTTCGTGATCAAAATGTGCGGATCTTTGCAGTAGGCATTGGGTCCAATGTTGATATTAATAAGCTGAAATCATTTGTGGAAAGCGATGCAGATGCTTTTCTGGTGGATTTATTCGTAGATCTTCTTCGCAAGTCGCAGACATTTGCTGAAAACACTTGCAGTCAAATCAGTAATTGTAAGTAATTCCTTCCTTATTTTTTCGAGAAAGAAAGTTATGAGGACAAACTTTTAACTTATAAAGCGAGTAAACGTTAGCATTCTTTGGAAAACAAGGGTATTTTTCTGTTTTATATACAGAGGAATCAGGGAAAGGATTGAATGTGGAACGCGTATTCTCTTGTCGAAACTACATTGCGCAAGTGTAGCAGAAGTCGTACAGCAGACACTTACTTCTTCAAACTCTTACGGGAACAAACGATAATTCCAAAGATATCGGTTAAGTTTTAGAAAACTACATTCATAAAATAAATATCAATCGAAAATTTATTTGCTTCTTCATTCCCTTTGTTTTCAAAAGAAGGAAAGAAAAAAGAAAAGAAAAGGCAGAAACGCTTTAGTCCTTGGTCTCCTTGTTAATTTGGCTCATTACCCTGAAAGATTGAGGAAAGAGGGCTAGTTAGAAAGAATAAGCAATCACGAATGAAATTATCTTCATTTATTATCAATTATCTTCATTTTGGAATCAGGGAAATTGTGCATGATACCCACGTCACGTCATGTATATGATACCCACGTATCCTGCTCTTTGCACACGGAAATTTTGCATATTGTTTGCTTCACTTTTCTTAGCTACCAAATGTGTCCAAGGAGTAGACATTGCTTTCCTCATGGACTCATCAGAGAGCATTACGGACGAAGATTTTGAGAGAGAAAAGATAGCCGTGAAAGAGATTGCTGGCCGATTCTTAAGTGCTTCCCCAGACAGCCGCGCTGGTGTCATTATGTACAGTGGTCGGCCTGAACTAATGGTAGACTTTGGCAGTCAAAATTCAATCAGCGAATTCGAGTCTGCCGTGGACGACCTGACACACAAGCGAAGTATGACAAGAATAGACAGTGCCCTCCGCTTTGCAGCGGAAAGATTATTTTCAAATCCACGCCGCTCTGCGAGTTCCGTTGCTGTGGTGATGACTGACGGGATACAGACGCCGGGACCTGGAGTCGAGCCGTTAAGAACAGCTGTGCTACCTCTTCGGGAGAAGGGAGTTCGCGTTCTTGCGGTCGGCGTGGGACCGAGGGTGGACCGAAGTGAATTAAAAGACTTGGTAACGAGTGCAAACGATGTGTTCCAAATGAGTTCTTTCCAGGAACTGCTAAACAAATCTGAGGAGCTACTTGAAGTTGTCTGCCCTGGTAAGTAAGGAGAAAAACAATTACACAGTAATCGATAAGAACAGATAAATACAAATTTAAATGTAAATTTAAAACATACAACGAGAATCACAGGTAGTGGTTGTACTTACATGTATGTCTATATTTAAGAAATGGCGGATTGTGTGAGATGAACCATGACTCAGAATAGTTTACTTATTGACCTGCGCAGTTACCATTAATTCCTTTAAACAGAACGAATATTCTTACAGTAGGATTACGCTGAGTTTAGGTGGGTTTTGAATGGCAGGTTCCCTTTTTAGCTGTTTCGCTGCCATTTTAAAACACATTTTACTATATCAGCTACAGAACAAATGAACGTTGTGACGCGATTATTATGTTCCCAAAACATTCTGAAGCTCTCAAGCAACGCCCATCATTTTGTAATAAATTCTCCCAATTAATATTTTTTTGCCCGAAAAGACGTTCCAGGACCTCTTAATACAACACTGATTACTACAACGGCGGCGCCAGTGGCCATTACCATGACTACTTCAAACATCACCGAACCCATTCGGTGTGAGGAACTCTTAGATGTCGTGTTCGTAATGGATTCGTCACGAAGTATCGACGCGCCGCAGTATAAACAGGAAAAAGATTTCGTGAAGAGGCTCGCCAATATTTTTAAAGTTGGAGCAGGAAGCCGAGCAGCAGTGATCATTTACAGCGATGAGACTCAACTAAAAATCACATTTGATCAGAATTCCGACTTGAGTAGTTTCTTATCGGCCGTGGAGTCTTTACCGTACCTGCAGAGAAGGACCAGAATTGACAAGGCACTGACAATGACTGCACAAGTAGTGAGACAGGCCAGGTGAGGTTTTCACCTCTTATATCCATTTTTTATAAAATGCATAGGTAGCGGGAAGAAAATCACGGAAAGTATGTTTTCATTAAAGGGATTTTTTCTAGATGAAGAAGGGGAAATATGTCTAATCTAGCTGAATTTACGAACATTACCTGGCCCAAAATGTTCTAGAAGCGCTGTCAGAGAATTTTCTGGTCAGCGGTTGGCCTTTGGCGGTTGTTTCTTATCAAGCGATGTGGTCCGCCTATCCTACCTGAGTTTGGAAAATAAACTCTTTGTTTGAAAAGAGTCTTGAAGTCTTTTCGAAGCAGTAATGCTCTTCTGATTAGCGCATATCCCTGACGTGGAGTGAGGTCGTGGATTTTCCCAGTCAAGGTGGGATAATGATAGGAGTAACATTTACCCGATTTCCCCTACCCCTCTTCGCACTATAATACTCTAATCTAATGATACCCCGTCATTGGCAGTCAATTTTCAAAAGTCGCTCTTTTTTACTCTGTTATTGACCACTAATCCCACCAGCTCCCTCTTTAAATAAAAACATGTGAACTCCCCAATTCTTCCGACCCTTCCCCTTCTTAAGCTGTAAATTATAACTGGTCCCTTAGACAAAGACTGTATTCGCTCAAGATCAGGTATTTCTATCTTACTGTGCGATGAGTTCTGAAGAGTACGAACATGCAACTCACCTTCCAAATAGGCTTCTCAATTTTGAGTTTTTCTTGAACAAAGCATCAAGAAAATTATTTGGTCTCTTTGAATTTTGACAAATTTTGGTCTCAGGGTAAATTTCTCTCGGCAGACCTGGCTTCCCGAAAGTTGTGATTGTTATGACAGATGGCCGTCAGACACGTGACCCAGATGCACTTGACCTCAATATTGCGGCAAAACCAATTCACGATCAAGGAGTACGCGTTCTCGTGGTTGGAATTGGCCCAGAGGTGTCCGATAATGAGCTTCAATTGATTGTCAACGATCCTTCATATGTTTTTAAAGTCGGGTCATTTGAAAATTTGACGAAAGCCACACAAGACGTCGCTGCCACCGCCTGCATCAATCCTAGTACGTCAGATAGTTATGCCAATTTTTTTTTTAAATAAAAGCAGCATGCTAGAAAAAATTATATGAATGAGATGTTTTAGATTTTATAAGCCATTTTCGTTAAAACAATTCGTAAAAAATTTAAGTCTATTGAAGAAGGGTCTGTCAAAGAAATGTTTTAATAATAATAATGATAATAATTTAAATTTATATAACGCAGACCTCTATGTGGATATATTCAGTCGCGCTTCACAATATCGTAAGGTAAAATTATGTTAAAAGTAACTAAAAATATAAGGAACTATTAAAACCTACGAACCTATGCACTCGAAGGGAACAGTTACCGAGTAAAACTAGTTAAAACTATTTGAAAGCTAAATTAAAAAAATGAGTTTTGAGAGCAGTCTTGAAAGCGTCCAATGTCTTTATGTTGCGAATTGTGGAAGGTAATGCATTCCAGAGATAAGGTGCAGCTGACTGGAAGGCACGATCGCCAAGGGTTGGACGGGTCTTGGTGCTAGGTAATTCGAGTAATAAAGACTCGATTGACCTAAGAGAATACCTAGATTGCTTTTTGATGCTAATTAAATCTATCAAATAATTAGGAGCTAGACCATATAAGCACTCAAATGTCAAAAGTAAAATCTTAAACTTTATACGGTAACTAATCGGGACCGAATGAAGATGGAAAAGCAATGGCGTAACATGGCAGTATCTTGGTGATCCAATGACTAACCGAGCAGTGGCATTCTGTATCCGTTGGAGTTTCACGATATGTGAATTCGGGAGGCCGTATAGTAGACTGTTACAATAATCTATTCTACTGGTTACGAAAGCATGAACTAATGATTCAGTGACTGGACGACTTAAATATTTACTAATTCTACGTGTGTTGTAAAGGTAATGGAATGCAGATGAGCAGGTTTTACCAAAGGGTTAGGACACGCGTTGAAAAATGTTTGTTTTTTTTTTTTTTGCCTTATTCCATTTTTTTTTTTACCTCCAATTCATCTTATCTCACTGCTTCAGTTTATCTCATTTCTTTATAGCTACCACACCAACACCAACACCGGCGCCGAAGCCAGGGATCTGCCCAGTCTTCCCGTTCAGAATCAGGTGCGCGGTCACAATCAGCTCATGCCTCGCAGATAGTGAATGTCCTGGAAGTTTAAAGTGCTGCTATGACAATTGCCACTCTATCTGCACTCGACCAGTTTATGGTATGAATAAAACCATAGTAATTGTCTTTGTTTAGATAGCGTAGGTTCGTGAGGAACAGCATGAATCAGTGGTATTGGAGATATATGGGGAGGACCAGAAGGCGCAGCTTCTTACCCTCTCCCCTTAAAATGGAAGACCGCCTTGCCTAAGCACCGAGGTGCTAAGTTACCCATCATTTCTCAGCACTCTCCTCCCTACCCTCCCTTCCCCCCATTCCACTCTCATTAACACCTCGAGGTCTGAACTCGCCTCTGGAATCTCCACGCGCAAACGGTATGGTCACATAATTATGATCCTGTTTGTTTTGAGTCAATCGTGGCTAAATACATAAAATCCCAAAAAACCAAAATATTTGTCGATCAGATGTTCATCTGCATATCTCATTTGGTTTTTGCTGATCAATAACAGATTGCAATACTTAAAATGTTTATAATGTGAGATGCGTCAACAGCCACGACATTTTCAAAATTAGAATTGCTCAATTAAATGAAACAGTTTTTTAAGCTTGCAATTTTTTCTTACCTTCAAAAGAAACAACAACCTCTCCCTTCTCTGGTTATTGTCCGGCTCCGACAGATCCACCTGGTGGTGTTTGTTCAGCTGGTCGAAGCTCCTGCTCAGAAGATAAGGATTGTTCCCCGGGATACAAATGCTGTTTTGATGACTGTGGGTTTTCATGTCAACCAGCTGTCGGTGGTAAAAGTTGTTTGCTAACTTATTTGTTGCTTCCTTTGTTTGACAGATACTTGTAGATACTTGTAACCTATTTTTGATTGTTAATGATGCAACTTTACCCGTCCGGTGAGAATGAGAGAGATAAAAGCGCCAGGCAATCGATTTCTACTCTCTTAGATGCCTTTTAAATGAACAGAAAAGAGTGAATGACGTTGTTACCATTTTTCTTCTGCTTTTGTTGTTTTGTGCTTCTGACTGATACTACGGTTTCAGTAGTTGGTGTGGGTTGTGACTGTGACAGAGTTGTTGTTTTTGTTGCTGATAAACTTGATGAGATCATAAGATGACAAAATTTGCCAATTTTCTTGCATGACAAAATTGACCAACACTTCATACATTTTCGATTGTCGTCAACGTTATCATTTGTTCGATTCGGTCAATAGACGCCTAAGGCTATCGCGTTTTTATTTCCCATTCGTTGGCCCTTCCATCCCCTCTCTCCCCTCCCCGAGCCAACCTGTAGCGTTTCCATTCCCCCTGGGTTTTCTCTCATACCACTGTCCTTCTCCAAGTTATCTTTGGCGTCCTCCTCCCATCCTCCAATGCTCTAAATATATCTCATTAACTAAGCGCGAGGGCCGTACTGGGAGAATATCGGCCCGAGGTCTTGACAGTACGGACCGAGCGTAGCGAGGTCCGTACAAAAAAGACCGAGGGCCGATATTCTTCCAGTACGGTCCCGAGCAAGCTTGGTTAATAAGAGATTTATTACACGACTAAAGTTCAAAGGGACACAAGTGTGGTATCATTCGGGGCCATTCGGGACAGTGCCCGGTCCAATACTTAGAGAATATACCGGCAATAGAGCATTTTGATTGGTTGATTTTAGTTATTGGCCCTCTGACTGCCCGAGTCGTGTAATAAAACGCTGTTTACACCCTGTTTGCTAGGTAAGTGCGTTCACCAGTTCCATCCTTTTCTCCACGTGTTATCGCATTTGAAAACTCTTACACATTTCCCTTATGTTGCGTTTACAGGACCCACCACAATTCCTCCGCCTCCACCATGTTCAGAATCATTCGATCTGGTATTCGCTATGGATTCCTCCGGCTCCATAGGAGAAACAAACTACCAAAAAGAAAGAGACTTCATCAAGGGATTAGCAAACAAGTTGGTGGTCGGTCCGAGGAACGTTCATCTTGGTCTCATGGTATTCAGTGATTTGCCAAGTGTGTGGGTCAGCTTTGGCACGCTTAGGAGCACGGACTACCGTTCATTTTCCAAAGCGGTAGACGGCGCACCATATCTTCGTGGACGTACACGTATAGACACCGCGCTTACGATAGCTGGTAGGGACGTATTTCCAGAAGGGCGCCAAAACCAGGAGCCTCAGGTGTTGATATTGATAACTGATGGTCGTCAATCTAACGATCCTGGGTCAGAAACTTTGGAGAAAGCTGTGCAACCTTTACGCGATCAGGGCATTAAGGTGCGTACCTAAGTCTTTTTGAAAATGTTACCTAAGTTCCGACTTGACGAGTCATTTTAAAATGTTCATATTTTTTGGAAAATTATGTTTTATGAGCAGTATCAAAAACATCCATTTTGAGATGACTTGTGATCCTTAAAATCTTATTGGCTCACAGCGCTGCGAATTGTTTACTCATTTTGCTCTAAAGTACATCTTTTTCGAGTAAAATAATCGATCAGATTTCAGTTTTCAGAAATGCAAAATAGTCCACATAGCGCTCTCTTTTTATTATTATTTCTTTTTCTTTTCCAAATTTTTTTTAATCAGTAACAAAAGCCTGTATTCAATCAATTGAAATTTCTTCTTTGAATTAATGAGATGGAAAGGTAACTGAACCTAACGTCCAGCGATTCTGCGCATTCGATTTCAGAGTAAATTGCACTCCCTTCATCTCAAGTATCAGTGTGTGGTGGCTTATAGCTTTATCTACAATAGTAGCGCGCTCTTTACCTCGCCATAGTTTGTTGCTGAGAGGTTTTTTAACATTGATTCTGGTAACCTAGCTTGCCTTATCATCCCAAAGACCCAACTCCTCTTCAAACTCTTATTTAAAGCTCTATTTTATGCACACCCTTTTAGCACACAATTATTGAATTTATTGAAATTTAGGTGCGGTCCTATTTAGGCTATTTACTAATGTTTTCAAGCAATAGAACCAAGTAAACTGATTGTGACTCAGCTAAACTGCTGAGGCCAAATGGTTTATAAGTTTATTATCTTATTTTCTTGCTTCCTCTCCATATATCCTACTATAACTTATATTAAAATTATTTATTTTGTCCAGTTTTGGGATTGTTTAAAAGGCAATTATAATAACCATAATTTTCACTCTGCGTCGAATTAAAGCAAGAGCGTTCTGTTATGCATGAAAACCTCATTAACTTTTTTCTATCAGATCATCATTGTTGGAATTGGAGGCGATGTCGATAAAGTGGAATTGAGATCCCTCGTGGAGAACCCAAATGATGATTTGTTCCTTGTTGGGTCATTCCTGGACTTGGAACCCTTGTTAAGAAACAAGAAGCTAACTGATGCCATCTGTTTAAACACAAGTACGTTGAAATTACTCCTTAAAGACTAGTTCCGTTCTGCATCGTCAGGTTAAAGAAGTTTGAAAAAATCCTCCTAATCTAGCCTGTTGTTTTGTGCCGAAAAATTTATTGCCCTGATTTTTCCTTGTTGATGGTAATAAGAGAACTTAAAATTCTTCCATCTCTTTTTCATTGGCCGATAGCTCCAATAGCCAATAAGGATTTGGACAGGTGTCAAAAACTACCGGCACTATACTAACGACTTATTCATATGCACCACAAATAAACCCACCAGAACGACCTCATATTATCGACGGGTTGAAACTTTCATTGGTTGATTGCATCAATAAATGATATAGATTTGGACCATGACAATTTGATATCGTGTTCTTATTAAACACAGCATTATAAAGAAGCGGAAAGGTAAATTTTTCTCCCAAATTATACCCACAAGATATTAATTCAAAACAGAATTCGTTAACTGGGTTTTTATTCGTATTCTTTTTGTAGGTGGTCGTCGGCAGAGGAACTTGTCGTAGGAGCAAGACTGGAACTAGTCATATATTGTCTTTCACAATTACTCTGCAACTACGAATTGACAAAGGATCAGCGCTTTTTTAGATATAGGAAGGTTTTAGGAATTTATATGCTTTTAGATTATATATGTTAATTATTATTGCATTGATAGACGTTTTAGGAAGTTATGTGGAGCTTCTACCAATGGGTAGAACGCATTTTCATCCCTGTTTGCGAGTTAACTTGGAAGTAAAAACCGCGTCATTGTGAACCGCGTTTTTACCTTTGAATGCGATGTTGTTCGTGTTTTATCTTCCTTGGGACCGTCTGCTTAAACTGTACATCAAGATAACCACTAAGCAGGTAGCTCTGAATTATTTAGCACAAAGTAAGGTCATTAGTATTCATGTTTCCCTTTGTAAAAGGAAAATTTTTTGTTCAAGGTTTTTCGCTATTTTTTTTCGGCTTTAAGTTCCCTTAAGCATTAGTAGGGAGAGAAGCTTGTACTCCCCAAGCGTACTTCCAGGAATTCATGTATTTCGCTGCGCGAGGTATAAGTCGTTAAGGCGTGTGAACCACAATCTTGGCTCTTATTTTCTTCATGTATCATTTGCATTTTACGCCATAAGAAACTAAGAGAAAGAAGAGACTGCTTTTAATTTAGAGGCACATCCTGAATTTTGAAGGAACATTGCACGGTTGAAATTCAGCATAACGCGCTAGTTGAAATCATTAAGCTCTATCATTAAAAGTAAAAAAAACCATCTTACAAAAATAGAATGTCTCTGTTAATTGTTGATATTTGTTGGGTTATCCCAGCCTATTTTTCCTGAAGGGGATATTATAACATAACCAAAGTAAAGCGCGCGCTCTGATTGGTCAATTTAGCATCCCCCATTTGCCCATGGGTGTACGCTGCTGACGTGAGCAAATGCAAAGACTATTTTTCCGCGCGCGCTTGTTTTTTCTGGTCACGTAAGATTTGTTAAATAAAAGGGAACACTTTAGCTACAATGTATCAATGTTATGTTATAAAACAAATGGTAAACACCACAGCGTACACTATTGAGTTATGGATGCACTTGGGAGGTTTACTAAGCACTCAAGAAGCTAGAGTCGCTCTCGGCTATCGCCTCGAGCGACTCTTACGCTTCTTTCGTGCTTAGCAACCTCCCGCGTGCATCCATAACTCAATAGTGTACGCTGTCGTGTTTACCATTTGTTAATTCAAACTACTCGGAAATTGCCTAACTCTTCATAAATGAATAAGTGAATTTGATATTCAAGGGGTAATTCAAACTACTCGGAAATTGCTTAACTCTTCAAAAATGAATAAGTGAATTTGAATATGTGAAAGTCGGATATGTGAAATAAATGAGTTCACAGGATTGATTTTAAAAAGGAAGGTATCTGGAAGGCAAGTGCCATACTACCACACCGCCCGCGCTGTCGCAGTTTGGCTGAGTAACGTTAATTCACTTGTGTCTCGCTTGCTGATATTCTTCATTAAGGGAGCCTCCCGAAATTAACGTTACGTTTCAATGAAGATGCATCTCATCCTTTGAAATCATCACCTCCTTACTCTCTAGTCTTGGGGCTTGCTCGCGCGTCTTTGATCTTTGTTGTTGTTGAGTGAGAGGCAAAATAAGAAAAAAAAAAGCATCGCAAATTCTCTATAAGTTGTATGTTTGCAAACCCCGTTTCCTTTCCATGATGGGCCGAGGAGGTCATTGTTCTGTGCGGGAAAGTAAAAATGGCCGCAAACATACCGAAGGGACAAATTTTTAGGGAAAGCCTTTTATTACAATTCGTGGCAGAAAGAAACTTTTCAGCAAGTTAGTGCAGAATTCTGTAATAAGTTGTTAAATGTTTCCTTACTCATTCCATTCTACCCGAGTCGACGTGAACCTTTTGCGGCTCAAATTAAAAGTATATATAGTCGAACCTCCGTTTGCGACTACCTGTAGTTGACGACCACTTTTTTTCAAAATATCGGAAGTTTCCAAATTAAATCACTATAAATAGAACCTCTAGTGGTCAGAGCGCTGGACTCTGGGTCGGACAGCCCGGGCTCAAGTCCTGGCTGAGGCCCTACGTTGTGGCCTTAGGCAAGTCGCTTCACTCGCATTGCTTCGTCAGTCTCGGATAAGACGTAAAGCCGTAGGTCCCGTCTCCTGCAGGGTTAGGGGTAGGAGACGTTAATTTCCCACGCACGAGCTCGAGATTACTGTGTGGTGGATGCACTCCCCTGGGTGGGATGGGTGGGAAGGTGAGATCGCTACACGGACTGAAGCGGCTGCAGAAGGTGCCTGTTAAAATGCTGACGTCCGATCTCAACCTTTCCACATTGAGGCTGAAAAGCCCCTTTAGGGGAGCTTCAATTAACGCTGCACTTGCACTTGCGCTCTAGTAAGCGACCATCTCTCGTAAACAACCGCCTCTCATGATTGACCACTTTCAGAGATGCTTGTTTTCAATTTTCGATCGTTTTTAATCCATTTTACGAAAAACTTTTGTTATCGTGTGAATATGCGTGACTGTATGAAAACAGGCGGGGCTGCACATCAAGAAATCCCTGATACAACTCCGATAGAACTGAAACGTCATTAACAAAAAGTTTTACGGTCAGATGTAAATACCGATGAAAGGTTGTCATAAAATTTAAATAACTTTCGGTTGAGTTTTACATGTTGTCTTTGGCCTTTTAAGGAGCGAAAGAAGGTTTGTAAACATAAACTTTCTGAAAAATTTGCGAAGCTTTTCCAGACTCAACAACAACAGATCGAGGCATCGCAAACAAGCGTCTGTAGGTACCCAGTGCAGGGTGAGACTATCCCAGCATTCATTCTGACGCCTGTATTAGCAGAGTGGTGTATGCCATTCATCAAGGTTGTGATGGATTAGATGCTGATAAATGTAAAAGTTTCTTCAGCTTCGTGTTTCCAGAAAGAATATTCTGTTTTAATCTAACGTTCGAGTTGTTTTTTTTCTTCTTTTATACTCTACTCCAGCCATCAGATTCAATAATGTTTTGAGCTTGGAATAAATATATAACTCTGTCCATGGTTATGTATATTAGATTCTCATAAATGTAAAATTTGTTTTTTTTCCATGTGAGTAAAAGCTGAAATCGTGAATCGTCAGCTACGTGATGCTAGTTGTATCTTGCGTTATCCCCTCGAGAAGTCTCGATACTCGAGAGACATCTCTCGCAAACTCGAGTTGTTCGTCGTTTCTCTCGTGACTGACCTTCTGACCCCCTGGAGAGATTTCGTTTCGCGAAGAGTCTCGCGTTCCTCGCGAAAATATTCCCGTGTCTCGCACGTAACACCAGGTTGCTGTGGAGAGTGTTGGAGATTAACCTATTTCGAAGTTATGAAAAACGAAAATCAAATATCTTCGATACTTCCCCCTCAAAAGGAGGATTAAGTTGAGTTTATTTCCCAAAATATACAAATTGAAAAGGTTAAACGTGAAAATTTCCAGAGCAAATTTCAACTGTATGCCAGGAATCCCCTCGCCTTATGTCTTAGAGGAAATTATTTGGTTCCCTGCCCATCTGTATAACAGTAACGCTCCCGCCAGTTAATCCATCTTTCCTTGGGTTAGCATGTGTTTGGTTCAAAAAAAAAAATAGAAAATAATAATAATAAAAAAAATACTCTAGTAGATGAAAGTATGAAACTTCTGTTACTACCTCTGTTTTACTACTTAACTGAAAATCATCGAGCTTTCACCTCCATGAACAGCGTGCTCGTGTCTGTGACTTAATCCGAAAAATGAAATTAAGCTCAAAATAATCCCGCCCGAATAATCTGAGGGGATTTCCTGTTGATCAATATTTTTTTCTGTGTACGATACACGAGATTTTAATCTAAGTCTCTGCCGTGCAACGGCCCAAGAACGGACGAAAAGTCAGGCAACATCTACAGTCCAAAGGTTTTGTTTGTTTGATGATTTTGTAGGATAGTAAAACCAATGCAAAAAAGGGGAGACTCTATTGCTGAGTGTATTCTTAGAAAATCTGAAAGGCCTCCATAGTCTAATCCCGTCCCTGATTCAGTCCAATTTGTTGGACAAATTCTTAAGTCGGCATGGGACCAAATCTGAAACCGACGTGGTTTATTCGTATTAATAGTTTAATTTGGCTTGGAAAAGAGCTTCCAGAAAATTCGCGTCACATACATTTTATGTAAATGAAAAAAATTAATGAAACTTTCTCCTGTAAAAGGTCCAAAGCAGGCCTGCTGAATCAAGTTACGGTAAAAGGAGATGTGTGTCGCGTAAATCCGGTTTTTGGACTAGAAGGGAATTGACATAGTAAACTTGTTTGCTTCTGTAATGGTTTAGAATTCGCCATATGATCCACCTTTTCAGGAATATTCTCACGGCCCTACTAAAACCGGAAGTTAAAAAAAGTGTTTAACATTATGAAATATTTTTTTGCTAAATTTTCGTACAAAGATTAAGGGTGTGCTCGTCGCTCATGGAGGAGAAACGCGTATTTTGGTATCTTATGGATATTTTGGAAAAAAAACCCTATTTGTTTAAGAAGCTTACGGAGGATCCATGAGAACTTCTAAGGAACAGTTATTCTATTTCTGCAGAATCAGAGGCTCATTGCCACGAGACTCTTTATGCACGGAACCTAATCGGAACCTGATCTTATCTTTTTGTATTTTTAGAAAAATACTTTTTCATGACTAGTGCCTCAAATATTTCCATTAGAGCCCTATTTGGAGAAGAAGAAGAATTTCTGACGTCCATCTCCTTCAGGGTAGCCCCCCCCTCCCATCTTCTCACCGAATGAATGTTAAAAAAAGTTAATGGCTAAAAGCATTAAAGTTGAATTAAAATAATTCAAAATATTTCTGTGCTGTATGCCTTTCTGTTGTATTTTATCGTACTATATCCGGTCGCTTATATTTTCTCTTTAAGCAAGGAGTTGGCTGAGCAGTTCTCAAGACCTTCTCACATTTGAGAGGCAGTAAAAAATTATCCGCTTGCCTTATCTCAGAGATTCATCTCTGTTAGTGAAGTTTGTGGAAACTGAGATGTCGTCAGTTTGTTTTCGTTCACAAATGTATGAGATACAAATTCTTATGACATCACAAGGTGAAAATTAAACTGTACTTGACTTGGTGACATGACTAGGTGCCAATTTTTCCCATCTTCAGGTAACTGATCCGCAATTCAGTCACATAGAACGCTAGATAATTTTCTTTGTTTGAGTATCCAAGTTAAATTCTCAATTTTTCTCTGCTTCAAAGCCAAGGTCATGTCAGTAAAAAAAAAAAAAGCTTTTGAGCATTTGATATTCTCTCTTACTACTCCCACTGTTTCCGGCCAAAGCTATTAAATATCACAATCCGTTGTGTAAACGAAGATCATCACGAGTTTGCCGCCTTTAACGTTCTTTCGTGCGGTTAGCACTTTTAAGCTTTGTATTGCTTATCGGACTTACAACACACTCCTGGTGGGTCTAATTAATTAGGAGTTCCGAATCCTCTTTGCGCAATCCCATTTCATCTTAATGTCTGTTTAAAATCAAAGATCTGTTGAATCGCTGGAGAAAGAAATTTACTCCGCACGTAACATGTGGCATTTTCAACCCACTACCACCCGGGGTGAAGTGAAATATTTCACACCAGCGACGATTTTTGCGCTCAGCCTTTTATAGACAACAAACTTAGATCCTGTAACGCAGAGAAGGACTCACGATTCTTGAGTCGAACACGTTTCAAGGCCAACGACGCTTTTCTAGAGACATAGATGTCGTTTTAATGTAAACAGAGTATCACAGTGATGAAGACATCATCCGTCGTTGTGGGAACGTTGCTGTTGATTTTTATCAAGATCAGGATCACACAAGGGCAACAGCGTAAGTGGTGCTCTGTCTGTCTACCTCTCCTCTGACATACGAACATAAATTTGTCTGATTTATTGCGTCTAAAGTTAAATTAGAGGAAGTGTAGCATGTGCGATGAGCATGATGTGCAATCAGGGTTTAAATTGATACACAGTTCCCGTATCTAGTTGACATCTTCATACATTGGCGGTTGGTATCACTTTGAGGATTTTAAATATGGCCGATGAATAGCCTTTTTAGGTGGCTAATAATTTTGACATTATATAACAAGAAAAATTTCCTCTGAAATGGAAAAGAGTCGACCGGCTATAGTTGCAGACAATATCCATGGTTTCATTTCAACTGCCAACCGTTTCTGTATTTCATTTTATAATTTTTTTTGATAATGATAGTCTTAATTCGATAAATAATAGGCTTGCTCGATAATTACTTTTCAAATTCAACTCCGATCAGAAAAACGTTTTATTTTTTTAGTTAATCCACTGGATTTGAGACGCAACTTAAAGACATCATAATCCGTAAATCCGGTTAATCTGCAGAGTATCCAGCTACTATTTGTGTAACTGTATATCTGGCATTTGACTCGTTTCGTTCTTCAAAGCCACCGACCACGTAATCACCCACACGCGATATATTCTCGCTCTAATGTCACGTACGGAGTTTTTTAAGTCAATCTTCATCCCACAGTTAGCAAGCCTTTATACCCTAAAATAAGTATACATATTCTTCCTACAGTTCTCTCAAACATTCCCTAAAGCACTGACAAGGAGATTTTGTTTTATAATTTTAATTCTTTGTGACAATTTCCTTTATTCTCGTGACCTTGATGTTTGACTCAGGAGTGATTAAGAGGAGATTGAAATTGGCGACTAGTCACTCATGGGGTTTAAAGAGTAACCTCCAAGTGCGTTCGTTCAGTACGTTATCATCACTGCAAGTTTCTTCATGTAAAAAGTAAGATCTCGGTGACGGGCAAGAAAGTTCCCAAAAGGAGTTCATTAAATAATAAAACCAACTAAACTTTTCCATGTGAAAACTTACTTTCCGATGAGATCTCACCGCGCTAATTGGGCTGAAATTCTACATCAATAGAGGAGAAAAGACCTCATCACTCCGGTGTCTACGCCTCAAGTTATACCACGCGTCCCATTACCTACAAGAACAACAAGACTTTAATTCTGTAAATCAAGAATGCTTGACCGTCATTGCCCGGATTAGGTGTGCGAAAATGTACAAACTACACAGGCGACATTTGGACCAATCATAATTGATACCATGCAACATTTGTCGGGCCTTTCAAGGTAGCCAGCTAAAAATTGACTTCCAATTTGTGTGCCATATATAATCATAAAAATGTAAAAGATTTTTCTCACTACGTATCGTTACGCTACCAAATCAATCTTTCCATATAGCAAAATATCTTATAGTCAAACAACTTCATTCCTTGCCGTTACTCAGTCTTGCGCTGAATAGCGTTTGCGTATTTTCGCGTAAAAAAAAAGTGGAAAGCACAAGGTGGTAGAGAGAAAAAATTACAATTACCGCCTTCCAATCCTCGTGCTGTCGAATTGTACAAGCACCCTCCATTAACAAGCCTTACTCCTTTACGATAATCATGCAGGCCTAAAGGTATCTGCAAATAATTCAGATGAGATCGCAGCGAAAATCAGCCGAAAAGGCTCTTCTGGAGAAGCACATCTTGACTGAAAAACAAATTCAAAAGCCTAATGTCTACGCTTTCCAGTGCACTGTTTTTGAACACACGTCACCTCCAAGAAGTCGAACCCTGTGTTGAAACTGGGTTGTATAAGTAGTTTTTTTTTTTCTTGAGTTTTCCGTTAGAAAATCAGGTTAATTACAAAATAAACAATAATTCTCAACTCATCATATGATATACTCATAAGGTGTACAATTTTCACGACATGTTGAAGGTATAAGAGAAGGAAGATGCCCATCAATTAGGAGGCGAACTGACTGCCCGGCCTTCGTATGGGACGAGTGCACCTGCGACTCTGATTGCTCTGGAAAGCAAAAGTGCTGTCTTGATGGATGCAAGTATGCATGCCTTGATCCAGGTGAGCAAACACTAATTTAAACTGGAGGTGATGAGCTGATAATTTCTCACCATAATATCAATGTATTATTAAAGAAATGAGGTAATAATTGTAAACAAACTAATCAACTTGAGACTGATATTGTGATATTACACCCTTGAATGAAAGTGCAAAGCAGCTATAAGGGAGAGTTACAACTGGGAATTTGAGTGTTAATCCTTAAAAAAACTTCCACGATCTGATTGTTAATTCTCCCCTCTAGCTGCTGCACATTTCCTTATAAATTAGTTACGAGAATTTGGTGTTAGATCAAGAGAACAACTTCGAACTGATAGGTTTGAGTATTCTCATAACCTGTTTACTGGTTACTGTATGGATATTACAGGGAGAAGATACATGTTGATCATTTCTGGGAGATTACATGTTGATCACATACTGAAGTCGGATGGACATAAGTTAAGACTCACCTTCTACAAAAGGAAAAAGTGTTTCAGTTCCACTACCGGAGAAAATGAATTGATTGGGCTTGATGTACAATGAAAATGAATAATCAGAGATCTAACTGGGGTATTAAATCAAGTCCGCCAAAACAGTAAGATCGAGGGAGCTTTCAATTCACTGATTGTCTCGGAACATATCTGATTGGTTCACACGAATAAACTGAGTGTAAACTCGTCCTCATAAAAAGGTTTGCTTACTCTTCAAATAGGAGATGTGTTAGGAAGGGAAACTAAATTAAGGTATATCCCGACCTAAAATACCACGCCATTTTTAATTTAACGTCACAGGCTAGTAAGCTTCTCGTTTCTCGTAGCGGTGAGCTGACCTTCATTTGCCGATTCGTTATGTTTCCAAGGACCTAAATTTTTCACTTCTCTGAAAACAGAAATTCAAAATGTTGACACACTTTCCCTGTTTAAGTTTAAATTGCAAACATTACTCCTAACCTAACCCAAGTTGAATCCCTTCTTACTCTTCCTTACTTTTCTCAAACTGCTCAAGTATATGTTTGTTTGAGTGCCTGCTATTGTTGTCGTTGTTTTATGTGGGTGTTCCATACTAACCTAAACTATTTTGTACTTGAATCACACCAAAAAAACTGATACCTCACTTTTGTAAAATATGAGGAGCCTGTAGCTCGCATAAGCCTCATGGTTTTCCTACGGGTTTCCTCGCCACATGCTAAATCTTCTGTTATATTATATTAATGTATATGTAACTCCTTTTATATCAAATAAACAAAAATAAATAAATAAAATAAATGAACAAACTTATTTGCTTCGTTTTATGTCAGACAAAGGAACACCTTCTGTCAGAAACAAAGCCGACGTTGTGTTCATAATGGACTCGTCAGGAAGCATCGGAGCCGATGACTACAACCGCGAAAAACAGTTTGTCAAAGATCTCACTAATGTGTTTCAAGTGTCGCCAACTGAGGCCAGAATCAGCACGATCATATATAGCGACGACCCAAAACTCATCTTCGATTTTGACGCATTCAACGATTCGCAAAGTATTAACACTGCTATAGACCGCCTGGAGTTTTTGGGAAAAAGAACGCGGATCGATAAAGCACTGGCAATGGCCCTAAGGGTGTTCTCCAAATCTCGTCCAGCCGTGCCCAGAATCGCTTTTGTCCTCACCGACGGAAAGCAGACCGACGATTATGACGCGAAACCGCTGGATGTAGCCGTCCGACCGCTTCATGACTTAGGCGTTCACGTTTACGTCATAGGGATTGGCACTCACGTCGACCGTAGAGAACTCAGGCTCCTAGCGAGGAGACAAGAAGACGTATTTACTGTAGCTTCTTTTGAACTACTGCTCAAACAGACTTATCGTATTGTAAATCGAATAGACACCTATGGTAAGTTTACTTCAATTTACCCTTTTTTCACTTTTTCGGGGAGAGGAAATGGAAATTAAATAATGCTGTTACGCCCTAATTAGCTTCCGGTGGACTCATTAACTTCTAAGGCTTTCAAACGGGGAGGGGCTTACCTGAGGATGTAATTGAACTATTAAATGATCCGTCCAGCCCCGCTTGCGCAATCCCATAGAAAATCTTAGTGAAAACGGACGTGTGCAGGGCTGGACGGGTTGACGTGAGCCGGTCCGGAAAAACCCGTCCTGCCTCGGTGCACTTGTACGGCGAAATTTTTTGTTGCGGTTGCCGAAAAATGAGTGACAGCGGTGAAAAAAAGATGAAAAAATGTCAGTTTTCTTTCGATAAAATGTGAGTTTCATGTTTTGACTCGGAAAAAAAAGGAAAAGTAAAATTACAGAATCTTTTTTGTGGTTTTCCCGCGCGAGCCAATCTATTGCGTTATTTGTTTTTTTTTGTTTTTTTTTTATCAGATGCAATTCCACCCTTGGAGATCACAGCCGATATGATATTCCTGGTAGATTCGTCTTCAGGTATACCTAGAGCAACGTATGGGGACCAACTGAAGTTTTTGCAAACAATTGTCAACCAATTTAGGATATCACCTCGTTACGTTCGAGCAAGTGTCATCCCATATGGAAACACGGCACGGCTGTCCATACCATTTGGGAGGCAAACAACTAACGCGGCAATGAATCAGTCAATCGATTCACTTCCTTACGTTGGAGGCCAAAAACGAATAGATAGAGCACTGTGGCTGGCTAACCAAACGTTTTTGCAGGCTAGACCCCTTGTCCCCAAGATTCTGCTCATTCTCGCCCATGGTGGACAAATGGCAGATGTTGGCACCAACCTAAGGCTCCCTGTCAAGGCTCTTCGTGACCAAGGCGTCAGCATCTTCACAATCGCTATTGGCGATCGAGTAGATTTTTCAACGTTAAGATACATTGTTGAAAATGATAATCTCATCGTTGACAAGTCTTACAAAAGCTTGGAGCCGTACCTTCCACCTGCAGCTAGTTACATTAGAGTGAAATCAGGTGAGGCTGAAAAAAGCTGTTAGTCAGTTACTCGTCAACACTTCGTATACACAAAATAGACAGGATTTTGAAATCTTAGCCTGGGTAGAAAATTTAATCGATATACCAGGCAATGAATGAACAATTCGAATCACTTGAAAATCAGGATAGGTCATTATGATTAGTCTAGTTGCAAACTGACCGGCTTTTCGTGAGCCGACAGGAGGTTTTCTCCCCGCCCGTAATAACGGTAATAACGGGGAACAACGTTCGAAATGTAAATTTGCGCTTTAACTATTCATACAGCCCTTAAGTGCTAAATAAATTTAGATTTTTCATCCTTATTGCTGACAAGAGAATGAACCTCATAATTAGGGTTCATTACGTTCCTCACAAACCATTTTCCGATTAATTTTGCAGACTTCTCGACTCCGCTGAGTAAAGATGCTGCTGTTGTCTTCCTTATGGACTCTTCTGAAGAAGTAGAATCGAATGATTTCAAGCGACAGAGAGAGTTTGTGATTTCCTTGGCAAAGGCCTTCAAAGTTTCTGAAAGGGGGGTACGCGCAAGTGTGGTAACCTACGGCAACTTCAGTCGTCCAACTGTGCAATTTAAGGACTCTACAGATGTCAACAATTTTATAAATGCAATGATCAGAACCAGTCAAATAAAAGGAAAACGATTGATGGACAAGGCCTTGTTGATGGCAGTCCGCATGTTTAAAAATCATAACGAGGTGGCACCCAGGGCGGTGATACTATTTACTTCAGGCCCTCATTCGGGTACACTTGACCAGTTGAAAAGCGCCAGCAAAAGGGTTAAAATGATAGGTGCGCGAATATACGTTGTTGCCATTGGTTCCTCAGTGGACGATAGCCAAATCGGGGGACTGGTGAACAGTTCTGGTGACATCAGAGAGTTACCTTCGTTCATGGATTTACAATCTGAAATTCATTTTGTTGGGAGACACGTGAGCCTTTTACAAGGTTAGAAACACAAATAACCTTAAAATTTATATCATCGATACGCGATACCTCAGTATCACCAAGCGTTATTAAGAAGTAGTCGCTATTGAGTGAGCTAGGGCCTAACAACCAGTCTGTCATGATGACTTAAGGGAATTTAAACATCATTATCGCACTCTCAGTATTACGGTTAGGTAAAATATATTGTTTTCAATCTAAGCATCTTATGGGAATATCCTCTTTCCCTAAAGAATGGTATCCCATCTTAATTAAAATGTTCGCCGTACCCTATCGAAGCACCATCTTCATCTTTCCCATTGCCTCTACTGACTTCAGAGAGAAAGAAAATAGGAAAGTAAAGAACGCCCTCGACTTCCAGTAGCAGATTACACTTACAGCTCGCAAACACAGTCCATTTGGAAAAGTGGGATCATTAGTATGGTACTCTTACAGTACATGGTTTAGGAGAAAGTGCTTCTCTTGTGGCATTCAGTCATGTAATTCTCCTTGAATAACGTCTGAGATCCGCCCTGGCAACTTGAGGAAACAAAATATATATCATGTGTGAACTAACTATGTATCAACTGAACTTGGATAACCTTGTGTTTCTTTATTAAGTTTCAGGACCCAGTTTTATAGCAGATGTTGTTTTCCTTGTTGATGCGTCCTCTAGTGTGGGTGTCGTAAACTTCCGCAGGCAAAAGGAATTTGTTAAAGCGGTAGCCCAGGCTTTGAACTTCGGAGAACGAGCCACGAGGGCCAGTTTAGTGGTATACAGTGGCACAACGACGCGGGTTACGAACTTCGACAGTCACAAGACACTGGGACAGTTCAAAAACGCAGTAGACATGGCGCAGTATTTGCGCGGTGGACGGCGAGTCGATAGGGCACTGACAGATGCAGCTCGGCTGCTTTCCAGGGCACGACCAGCCATTCCTAAGGTAACGGTACTAATTACCGCCGGGAGGCGAGATTCAGGCACACCCCTTAGAGAAGTAAGTAGACAACTGGAACGTTACGGGGTGAGGTCATTCGTGGTTACCATTGGTGTTTTGCCAGACTTAAAAGACTATTTGGTTCTTAGCAAGGAACCAGACATCTTCGAAATACAGTCATTCGTCGATCTTCCCGGAATACAGAAGTCATTTTCGCAACATATAATTTCTTCTTTTGGTAAGTGGTTTTGTCCATTATATTCAACCATAACTCGCAATATGATTGGTTTGTGAATCCTTTTGGTATACGAAATGCTCTAAATCACGAAACGAGTGATTCCTCTAACTTTTTTGCTCATTTTACTCGAGTTGAGGCAACGAAATGCTTATTGAAGGTTAGCACTGTGCAAACACAATCGAATTTTAACAGAGCCGGACAAACTTTGTAAACTTTGTAATGACCTTGGGTATAGAGATTAAAAGATTCAAAGATCAACAAAGTTTGAACCGTTTTCTCTTTCCAAATAAGGACATGATAGACAAGGAACTAAATCAGTTACGCGAACAGAACCAAAGAGTGTAAGGATAAAATGCTCTAGTCAATAGCTATAAAGGCAAATTAGTAGCATTGAACCTTGGTGCGATCAACATTTTAACTGACTTCGAAACGTACAAGTGATCAGAATAAACAACTTCCCCAGCAGTAATATTGCCACGTTATAATGTTACCAATAGGATAGCGTACTATGCATTTGTGTTTTTGTAATACGAGGGTTTTTATTGCAAAATAAGGGTAAAACTAATTTTAACGCGTTTTATGATAATTTCATACTTCTTTCTTACAGATGTAGCGGAGCCAACTCCTACACCAATTCTGAATGTCATAGCAGATGTAATTTTCATTATGGATTCCTCTTCTTCTGTGTCTTCACAAAACTATAGAAAAGAGAAAGATTTTGTCAAGTATCTGGCAACGTACCTTAATGTTTCGCCAAACAACTCGCGCGCAGCCCTCATAACTTACGGCAATGCAGCGTCTGAGGTAGTCGACTTTGACATCAAACGACCGCGAGCAGACTTTGAAAGCGCAGTGGAAAAAGCGCCTTTTGTCGGACGCAACAGACGAATAGACCAAGCTCTTGACAAAGCATCCCAGATGATGGCCAACGCCAGGCCAGAGGTTAGGAAGATAGTTGTATTGTTGACCTCCGGAAAGCAAGTTCAGGAGTCTGGCAGCAAAACACCCGGTGAAGCAGCAATTCCTCTTCTAGACAGAGGAGTTTACAATTATGTTGTGGCGATAGGCCGGGAGCCCAACATCTCTGAGCTACGGCCTGTGGTACAGCAGCCTGCACAAATTTTCCGGATGACGTCCTTTGACGACTTGGTGCCTCGGCAAGCGACGGTTGGACAGATTATCGTGGAAACGTCAAGTGAGTTATGTAAATGTATTTGGCTACTGGCTAATTTTGTCTTACCTCCTTATCTATATGCCTGTTTCTTTGTATTCCGCTCTCAGGTCTACCTATGCTGTTGCAAGGTCCTTCAGTAATAATGAATAAAGGCTGATAGTTTCGAAAGAAACTGTTTGGGGCTGCGTCGGTGGGGGTAACGAAATAATTTGGATATATCAACAAAGTTGAAATGGTAAATTGGCCACCGTAACGATTACAAAAGCTGACCTTTCGAGCGTTAGCCCTTCGTCAGTAATAAGCCTCCCTCGACTTCTTAGTTTGAATTCAGTTGAGACAGACCATCCACAAATGTGGCACTGATAAACAGTGGTAAACGCAGCAACTTAAATGTTTGTCTTTGGCTTTTTCAATCCTATAACGGTGATACTTCTGAATTATTTTATGTCAGGATGAGCTCAAGAGAGATAATTCTCTCTTGTGGATTTTTAGAGGGGATATCGTGATATGTGAAGAACACTCGTGGTTCTTCTTAAAAAAAAAACTGCACATGCCGAAAAAGCATGCAATAAATTGCGTACAATAATTCACTTCTGTACCTTTTTTTTGAGAGCAATTCAGAATTCCAGATTGGCTAAAGAAGTATGTACTACTAATTTCAGCTGGATCAGTTACAGACATTATTTCTGATATTGTCTTCATCTTGGACTCATCCAACGACGTCACACGGGATGAATACACTGACGAAAAATCCTTCGTCAAGGAGTTTGCCAGATACTTGAATGTCGCGCGTGGAAAGTCGCGTGCTGCGGTCATAACTTACGGTCAAAGATCTAACGTCTTATTCAAATATGACGGCTACGACTCGCTGAAAGTCTTCGACGACGTCATCAACAAAGCATCGTACGTGGGAGGGACTAAGAGAATGGACCTCGCTTTAGACGATGCAGGCCATTTGTTAAGCGAAGCAAAGCGTTGTATCCCTCGATGGGTCATTTTGTTAACAGCAGGAAGACAGCCTGATGACCCGAGGGTAAAATCTCTACTGGATGCGTCAAAAGCCGTGAGAGACCTGAGTGACAAGGTTTATGTCGTTGCTATAGGCAATAACCCAGATCCAAAGGAACTTAGAGATATAGTTGAAGACCCCAAAGACATATTTGCAGCTAGCTCTTTCCAGAGTTTGAAGCCTAAAGCTAGAACAATTGCCACAGCAGTTGTAGACAGAAATGGTGAATAGTTCATTTATCTGTAATCAGTTTGAAGTTTTCTTTTCTTCACCCCCACTAACTTGATCTCATTTTTCCACGTTTCAAGTGCCCTAAGGTAACCCATAATAACTCCGTCGAGGTATAAATCAGCTTTCCTTGTAAAAGGAAAACTATAAAACCTGCATTCTGAACTAGGCTTGTCTTTAAGTGTTTGGCACAAGGTTTCTCTGACTTCATTCTTTTTCTTGCAAAAAATGTGAAGTTTCCACAGAGTGTTTACCTGTTTTTTGTCTTGTGACTGTTTTGTTTCATTTAATGGTCCTTTTCCCCGTCATAGACCCTTTTTTGAGTACCATCTCCTTCAAAGTTTATGCTTTATCAGAAATGTACCGTATAATTAAAGCCAACGGTTGCCTTTTACTCAACAATTTTTCAAGACGCTGATCTCTGCGTGATCAAGACGTTCCAAGCCACCGTAGTCTTCCTCGTGGACACGACATCATTGATCGGAAGCTTGGATTTCAGAAGCCAAAAGGAATTTGTGAAATCTGTGGCTAAATCTCTTAACGTTTGTCAAGACAGCTCTCAAGCGGCGATCATCACATATGGCTCATTTCCATCGCAGCAGCGGTCCACCGATATTTACAAAGATTTGTCCTCATTTGAGCAAGCAGTGGATAAGTCGCAATACTTTGGTGGACGTCGAAGGTTACACCTAGCAATCGACGTTGCAGAACAATTATTAAAAACAGTTGCACCTAGCTTTAAAAGGATTGTTGTTATTTTGACAGGGGGACAGCCTCTAATACAGGATGCCTCTTCGTTGAAGCAATCCCTCAAGACACTACGTAATGCTGGAAATGAAGCGTTTGTCGTAGCCATAGGTAAAAACTATGATAAGGAAGAATTTCTCCCTGCTGTTCATAGGCCGGAGGACATTTTCAGCGTTTCTTCGTTTGATAATCTTGTGCCACGGGCCTGTTCAATTTCGAAAGCGATTGCTGAGAGAACAGGTAAATAAAAAAGGTTTGTTTTCTATTGATAGCGAAATTGCATCATCCCTAATTCTACCATATAATAATCTAGAGATAGTTGTAGTACTCAATCGAGAAAGCTAACCTTCTAGTCCCAATGGAAAAAATGGAAAAACCCAAACGTGACTATGATGGGTCTCTTTTGCTGTTGTTGCTTTCTCGTCTTTGTTGTTGTTTTATTTATTTAGTATTATTATTATTATTATTGTTATTATTTAACGTAAAAACTTAGTCAACAACAACAACAAACAACAAATTTTATTTTTATTCTGATTACAGACATATTTTTGCGAAATTTTGATTGTCGAAGCTAAGAAAGTATCATTCATTATCATATTGATAATTTAATGAGGTTTTGTTTTCAATATGATGATTACAGACATACATAATTGAAAATTCTTATTCAAAAATACATGATTAAAATGGTTTGCCCCGCAAATAGCTAAGAAGCTAGTCGCGGCGAAGCAAAACAAGAACGTGATTAAAATAACAAGTTATGGAAGAATAATAATAAATAAGGCAAACCTATGTTAATAGAAAAAAACCTTGTAGATTGCAACTAGAGATAAATAAAACACAGAAATTGGGAGATCAAATTAACACAGCACTTACGGACGAACAATGTATAAAGACAAGGAGTTGTAAAAGGAAAACAGACGTAAAATGGGACCCTCAGCACGCGTTTCTATGATCCTACTTTTTTAATAATCATGGGGATTTCAATATATTCATCCTCCTTTACTAATATATCAAGTAACAATTTGCGGAGATCTTTTTTGAAAGCTTTCTCTGGGAGATTGGTTATGTAGCTTGGTATCCCATTCCACACTTTAACTCCGAGCCGAGAAAAAGAATTGTTTTGCATTTCAAGTCTAGAATATTTAACATAAAACTTGCCAGACGTAGAAGATCGTGTATGGTATGAGTGGATATTAGACGCTTTCTGAAATAAATTTAACATGTTTGCTGGGGCTTTACCATTATTGATATCGTGCATTAAGGTTGATACGGACTCATAGTAAAAGAAAAGTTATTGGAAGCGCATTAGCTTCGAAAAAAAAGAGGAATTGCATGGTCATGCCATTCGGCAAAGTATGATAAACGAAGCACTCTTTTCTGAAGATTTAGTATTTTGTTAAGATAAGTCTTGTATGCCTAACCCCAGGCAGCAAGACCATAAGTTAAAAAAGGAGGAATTAATGACTTATAGATGTTCAATAGTACAAGTCGGGGTACAAAATGGCGTAACTTTGCAATTAACCCGATAATCTTACTAATTTTTGTTACAATGGAATCAATGTGATATTTCAACAGTGGTTTTAAATTAATGACGTACCTTTACCTTACCGTGATTGTTAAACCTGAATTATGTAAAGCACCTCCAATTACTCGATAAACGTTGCTCATTCGATGAAGTTCTATCGCCATTTTATCAACCGTTTCCAAACGCTTTACCGAAACGATATATAAATACATGTTTGATATAAACTACAGAGGGGAGCGTTCACACTCGTTCTTTATCACTTCAGATCCACATATTCCACGTGACTTTATGGCTGACGTACTCTTTATAATGGACTCCTCCGCCGATGTTTCGCGTGCAGACTACGAGAAAGAAAAAGATTTTGTCGAGTCCTTGGCAAGTTACTTGAGATTATCCACAGGTGGAACGCGAGCAGCAGTTCTGACCTACGGTTACACTACGACCCTTATAGCTGAGTACGACAGTTATGAAACACTACAAACTTTCAACCGTGCTGTGGATAGCGCTTCTTATATTGGCGGTAAGATAGTTTTGCCTAACGAAACTGATTTTTCGTACCTTTAAGCTGTCTCATAAACACATTGACATCTATTTGTTATTCCTTACGAAGCCACAGTATGTGACTGATCTGGGTCTGTTGTTACGGAAAATCGTTTCTTTGGACTCCTGTTCTTTGAAATCTGGCAGTGAATGAATTTTTCAGGGACAGATAAAAGCTATTGAATTTTTATCTTGACATCTCAAAGGTGGCGATGATATGACCAAATATTCTAAAATGACTATAAGGGCTCGTTAAGTGAGGCCTGTAAAACTAGTCTGGATCAATCTCAGTAAAATCTGCCGCGGGACAGCTCATCTCGTCAGGTACGAGCTGAGTACATAAAACCTCTCACCATTGTGCTGGTACGTCCGTTTTACAAAAAGTCATTTAGCCTCTACTTTTAACGAGGATTACGAAAACTTAATATTCTATTATGACAGGGTCTGGACGTATTGACTATGCCCTGGACTACGCTTCCAGGCAGCTGAAAGACACCAGGCAATTAGTTCCAAAAATCGTGGTACTTCTTACAGCAGGTCGTCTGTCACCAGACCAGTCCCTGAGATTGGCAGCCCAACCACTACATGACCATGGTTTTAAGGTGTACGTTGTCACCATAGGAAACAAACCAGATACAATTCAGCTTCTACCGATTGTGAAAAACGAGACTTTTCTTATATCAGTTCCCTCTTTCGACGATCTCTCGCAAAGAGCGTTGCCTGTGGCTCAAACCCTCAGCAAACATTCAGGTAGATAAGATAACTAAGGGAATGGAGTGCCTTGCCTCACTAGAAAGCAAAAAACTCTCGGTCAAAAATTTAACCAGCACCCAACCTCATCGTTCTGAAATTATATGTATTCGAAAAAGGGTCCTTAGTGCCTCTCCGAGCACACAGCAATCTATTTCAAACTTTGTGTTGATTTTCTGTTTAAGTAGATATCAATTGATGGCTCAGTGTCAGACCCAACCACATCTACATCAAGTTTTGTGTGTACTTGCAAAATCATCTTGTTGCGAGGGACAACTAATCTTGCTGAGTTATTGCTTTTAATACCTTTTCGGCTATGAGAATCCTCATTTCTGTTCTTGAATAAATGTTTCATAGTTTTTTTTTTTTTCTCGCTTGCTCAGTTAAATTTTGCGAAGGTTTTTTTATGGATATGTTTTGCCAGACTCAGAACTACCAGCTGACTTCCCAGGGGCGGATGTACTTTTCATGGTGGATTCGTCATCAGACATTTCAAACAACAACTATGAAAAACAGAAAGACCTTGTGAAAAATTTGATCAAAACTATGGATTCTTTTTCATCCAAATCTCGCATATCCTTTCTAACTTATGGCAATAGACCTCGGGTGTTGTACGGGCTTGATAACAACATGAATAGCGAAGCACAGCTAAGAGAAATAGACTCAGTACAACCAATGAGAGGAGGAAGGAGATTGGACCGCGCCCTTCAAGAAGCAGTTCGGATCATGCAAAATTCTAGGCCGACTGTTCCTAAAATCATTCTTCTTGTTGCTGCCGGAAAACAGATTGAGGTAAATAAATAACGAATGTTGTTATGTGGCATGGAAGTCTCGCAATGAAACAGAGTTCTCAGTTTCCCTCTTCTCGGTCAAACGAGCTGTCTAGAGTCATGAACTGTTTGTTTACGCAAACCGACAAATCAGTCTAAAATTTTACGACTAGAGCTGCGGAGCTAAAACGTAAAGATGTTCTAATCATTCGCAAAGACACCACCCAAAATATTGATATCCTACAGAACTTACAAGCTAAAAGAGGTTACTAGTGAGAACTGGTCCGTGCTATGTTGCGCTGTTGCTCTCCAGGAGTTCAATGAGTATAAAACTGCGATGCTTTCTGTGGGTAAACTAATACTTTAATGAGGCAACTCAGCTTCATTCAATTGACATTTACCTGAAACAGAGAAAAAAATCTAGAAAAATCTCACCGATCTGAGACCCTTCCACCCCTTTTCAAACCCCTATGTCACCCTAAGCTTTCTGCAAGTGATCCGTAAAGGGTGACGTTCAAATCTTGATGAGATTAAATCATTTAATCGTTAAGGCGTACGTGGCTGAGTGGTTAGGGTGTTGGACTTGTAATCCAGTGGCCTGGGTTCAAGTCCTCCACCCTGCCACTCACTGAATTTGTTCTCGGTCGCCCCTGGTTCAACTCCTCGGCTGCGCTCTGTAAATAGCCCATTGGTCTGCTTCCTACCAGTGGGGATTTTTAAGCACTTAGTTAGTTTACATTGTGGCTGAAAAGCCCCTAAGGGGGAGCTTCAATTTACGTATTTATATTTATATCTTTTTTTAATGCAACGACCAGGGAAAATGTTGCTATTTCTTTCCACTTTCACATTTCATCTGTAATAGTGCTCGTATTGACCTAAAAACGACATAATTTATTGATTTGCGTCATTTATTATCAGGAAACTGGAGTACGACCTCTTGATTCGTACGGTAAAACCCTTCAAAGGCTCGGTGTAGATGCTTTTGTGTTAGGAATCGGTAAAGATGTGGTACCACTAGATCTAAAACAAATTGTTCAAGACGCAAAGAATGTATTCCTCGTGCAAATGTTCCAGAGTCTGACGTCGATTGACCGGCAACTGGCGTATCAAATCGTCAAACGAACCATCGGTAAGTCACACGGCTCTAGCTGGTATTACCTTAGAGAGCTTTAGATTCGTGTACTAGAACGAGCACGAGTACGAGTTTACTAGCGTGCTCACATTGCGCATGCGTAGCTCTCCGTGACACTGTCATGGGAGCAGGAAACTCGTCGTCCGCCGCTCGTCGACAACGAGATTTTGACCAGAAGTCGTCCTCCAGAGAACGAGTTTCGAAAGGTGAGTATTTTGTATTTTAAACTTACCCTAGTCTTTTTCTAAGTCAGCAAAAGCAAACTTAAAGCCGTAGACAGAGGTTTTATCGAATTTCAAACCCTGATTCCATTCGTTTTTGATACTTCTTGGTCGACCTATTTTCACGAAATTCTGAGGTCTACACACGTAAACAACATAATGCCAGGGCCTTAAAAAGCACTTTCACCCTTTGAATTTTAACCATGCATGAGAGATATAAACAGTGAATTGTTGTGATGTGGTTTCCTTTCCAAATAAAAAGTTCTCGTTTCGCCATCGCTACGAATTGAGGAAAGTCAGGAAAGTGTCAACCACGTCAAAAACATCGTCAATCCTTTCATACTGCTTGTAAGGATCTTGCCTTCTCATCGTTGTGATTTCATAAATCGCCAAGGAGGTAAACGGATGCTTCTAGGATAAACGGATGCTTCTTTTGGCTAAACATAGCGAGATTGTTACAGTAAAACCCTCGCACTCGGATCGATACATTTGTTTATAATCTAAAGTTACAATTTTCGTCAGCACGACTACGAGTACGAGATACTAGTGCCAGATCTCGCGCGGCTAAAACTCGTACTCGTACTCGTTCTCGCACTCGAATCTAAAGCTCTCTAATGATGAAACAGGCTGCCATTAAAGTGATGAAATATCTTCTGGTGAGAAAATTCTTGAAACAAGAACTGAAAATAATTTGTTGGAACCCATAACCCAAAACAGGAAATGCATGGTACAATGGATACAAATTTTTATTAGGCCAACCACTGACGCCCGCATATTTTCCATGAAGAATTGAGACAGACGAAAAACTGTTAAACACAGTATTTTTCGATTGTAACCGAATTTATTTTATGTTCACGAAGTTTTCATGGCAAATGTTGTAATATCATTCAATCACGCATAAACTCGACAACTATTAACGAGCTTTTTTAACATGCCCGCCAACTCCCAAGTTCAACAACACAACGCACATGGTTACCCGTTTTCGGAGTGCCCGTGCAAGTCACTCAGGGGTCTCTAAGGGGATCCCCAAAGGTTTCAATATTACAACAGCAAATGACTGAAATTCAGACTTTCTTTATCAGAGCTTTTATAAGTATTTTTTATTCACCGGTCTTGGTCATACTCAGTGTCTTAGGTGCTCTTTTTTCCTTTACTACAGATGGCATGATTGAAACAGATGTTGTATTCGTCATGGACTCGTCTTCTGAGGTGGCACAGAGCGACTACCAGTACGAAAAGGAAGCTGTCAAAACCATGGCACGCTCCCTGAAAGTTCCTTCGGGTCAATCTAGAGCTTCTGTCATAACATATGGATATATTCCATCACGTGTGATCAAGTTCGATGGCTACAAGTCATTTTCCTCTTTTGAAAACCTCGTCAACCGTGCCCAACGCATTGGTGGGCGACGCCGAATAGATTTAGCTTTAGAAGATGCTGGTAAACTGCTGTCAGAGGCAAGGCCTTCTGTCCGTCGAAATGTCATCTTGTTGACTTCTGGAAGGACACACCCTTCATCAAGAGACTTGTACGTCTCAGCGAAACGTATTTTCGAGAACAATGCAGACTTACTTGTCATTGCTGTAGGTAGAAGACCAAATTTCAATAAACTAACTGCGATTGTAAAGGAGCCAAAATATGTCTACAATGCATCGTCATTTTCCGACCTGCGCAGAAAATCGGATGAAATAACGAAGATCGTCTCTCAAAAGCCAGAAAGTAAGTATAAAAAGGTCGTCCGTATTTCCAAATCAGTTACGGTGGTAATCTTTATCAATGGCAATGAATTAGGTCTCCCACCTGCACACGTGCTATGAGAGAAATTAACAACCAACATATTAATCAACACTTGAATAAGCACAAAGTCATTCAAGCTACACGTTTCTGCAAATCGAAATGCTCGTCTGAAATGAAAGTTTACAAATTCAATGCGGTAAAAACTCAAGTAGTAATAATGATAAAACTCGATATAAAAAGATCTATTGGTTGAACTCCCGTCTGTCCAACTAAAAGTAGAAAATGACACCGGTGAGAAGGAACTTTAAGTAGTATTATTAGGACTGCTCAAAAGGCTTCTCAGCTGAACAGGCAAAAGATATATAGATACTATACGCGGACCCAAAGAACTCTTACTTTGTCAAAATACTTTTTTTTCTGATCTAAACATGATCTGAGAAAATGCCACAAGGAGTTGCCATTATGTTTTCATACGCTTTTCCTTTTCAGAACCTGTAATTTACAATAACTTCGTCGCAGACATCGTTTTCTCAATGGACTCCTCCTTGACTGTTGATCAAAATGTTTATGACAGACAGAAAAACTTCATCAAATCCATGGTGGAATCGCTCAACTTGTCCACTGATAAATCGCGAGTTGCTGTTGTCAGTTACGGAGACACTCCCGTAGAAGTTGTTCGATTCTCGTCGCCGCAAGATGAGGCTGCTATCGCAACAAGAGTAGGCAATGCACGAAGGGTAAATGGTAGGAGGGATATTGCTAGGGCTTTGCAGTTTTCTGCCTCTCTTCTAGAAAACTCCAGACCCGACGTCTCCAAAGTGATCATCTTCCTAACTTCTGGGAGTGAGCTCTATCTTACGTCACCATCCCAGGCGCTCAGGGACTATGGTACCGATAGATACGTGATCGCTATTGGATCAAATGTAGATGAAGAAGAGTTAACTCCCATCATAGACGAACCACGTGACATGTTTACCATACGAACTCCACCGGAACTCACGTGGAAGACTGATTACATCGTTGATGAAATTGTCAAAAGAACAGGTAAGCTGTTTTTGTCTGCAAATAAGCCGTTAACTCCGGTTTCCATGGCATAAAACGACTAAAGTATTGTAATTCCTCTTGGCTGCGATACCTTTCGAATGCTTAGTGCCGCGAAAATTGTATTTTGCACACTTCTGCTCGTAACATGTAACAGAGCCCCAAGTCAAATCATAGTAGTAACAAAAGGGTTACGTGCAACTCAAAAGTCCGAGTACAGTCGAACAGATAATGAGCGGTCACCCGCGGCGAGTGGCGGTTAATACCGGTTAATACCGCTTAATACAGGTTGACCGCTTCCACAGAATAGGGGTATTGCAAAAAAAAGGTTAAAAAACCGCCAATTTATGCCGTAATTGACCAATTAATGTACAAAAACTCGCTCAAAAATATTACCAGCATTGATTTTGGGAGAGAGATATGGATTAAATATACTTGAAAGCTTAGTTTTATCTGAGTGGTTCCGCATTAAGTGACGGAAGTGACGGTGCGATACTGGCGCGGGACAGAAGAACCAGGCCGTTGGGACTCGGTAAAGAGTGACTAAGACCGTTTAACAGGGGTGAAAATTACTGTATTCAAGGGAAAGAATTCCGGGACTTTCACAACTGACCGTTTGATTAGGATGACCGCCCAATAAGGTGCGCTTAATACAGGTTCGACTTTATATGTAGTTTCTTCGTGTATAACAAATGTTTCATTCGAAGTGTCTCTTATTTCAAATTTTTTTTTTTTATTCAGTGGCCAAGAGAACCGTTTTACCTCTTGACTTTGACGCTGACGTTTTGTTTCTGGTTGATTCATCTTCCGACATGGACCAAGAAAATTACAACAAAGAGAAAAACTTTGTTAAATCACTGGCCTATATTCTTAATCTAAGACCTGGACAAACACGTGCTGCAGTTGTAATATATGGCAACTCTGCGCGTTCTGTGATCGGATTCACAGACCACACCTCCCCTTCATCTTTCTTTAGCAGAGTCGATGCACTGCCTTTCCTTCGAGGTAGAAGACGTCTGGACAGAGCTCTAATCGAGGGAGGATCTCTCTTAAACACAGCTCGACCGTTGGCTGATAAAGTCGTTATACTTCTTACTTCGGGTCGACAGACGCAAGAGGTAGGAGCTCTACCTTTGAATCAGGCAATGGAATCGATACGATCACATGATGCAAAAGTATTCGTGGTTGCTATCGGTCAGCGAGTGGATGAAGCGGAGCTTAGACTATTGAAAAGTGAGCTTTTCTTTGTACCTGGATTCAACGTTTTGATACGGAATTCAACTGGTATTGCCAAGGATATAAAGAATATAACAGGTATGCTGGTACTTGCACTCATCGCTAGGTTATTAGATCTCACACACCTTAATTTGCATGGATAGCTTAGGAACGATTCTAGTGCACCTACCTGTGAATGCAAGTGTAACCGTTTCGATCTCCTATGTTAAAACTATGCGATTCGCTATAGCTCACCCAGCTTTGTCTGGAACCTATCAAAGCATTTAGTTATATTCATTTAGCTCTCCAAGCTAATTTATTTCCCACAATAAAGGGTTTGTTTGTTTGTTTGTTTGTTTATTATTATTAGAACATTACAAGCAAATTTACACAACCCGCATATAGCATTAGTTAGTCTTGGCGGGTATTAGTGAATAAGTAAGAGAAATGAGTATAATCATTCGAACCAGAGAGCTAACGTTTGTATCTGAAGGCGATTATTACGAATCACTATATATACGCAGATAAATCATGTAAAGCAATGTAATAAATGTAATGTCATTAACAATTATTGGACGAGGTTGAGCAAAATATCGTGATTTGTCCGTGGCGAGCAGATCAATTATTTGCCGAAGCCAAAGGCTGAGGCAAATAATTGATCTGCGAGACACTGACAAATCACGATATTTTGCGATAACCGAGTTCAGTAATTGTTTTATCGTTCGATAACCGAGTTCAGTAATTGTTTTATCATTCGATCACCGAGTTTGTTTTTAATTTTTTGGGGGAAGCGGCAAACGCGCACTGCTGCCAGAAATCAAATGGTTTCCTTCTCAGTTAAATAATTTATTCTGTCGACTTTAAATTGTACGTACAGTCAACTCAGTGTTAATTAACAAAATGTATGCCTTCAAATGGCTGAAACTTCCAGGAACAAGTTCACAGTCTTCAAGGATTTGAAATCCGAAAAAAAAAGGGAAAATGTATTCATTGATGAATTATTGTATTATTATAGTATTGATGAATTAGCTTTAACACAATCTCTGAAATTTCACTTTAAAAGTTGAAAGTACAGTCGTAAAAATTATTAACTGTCTACTGCGTGTTAGATTGCTCGATACTTAGCTCATTTAGAATATGCTCTTCCTGAGAGGCTGTGAGAAGTGGTTGAGGTGCACTCTCAGCTACAGGAATCGAAGAGGTTGCCGTAATGTTTGGTACGGTCTTCTTGCTGTTCAACGATTCTGATAATGTTTACACACAAGAGCGACCACAAGAGCGACCACAAGAGCGACCACAAGAGCGTGGTTATTACTGCGCATGAGCAGAATATTATTTACACCAAAAACAGAGTTAGACGGTAGTACGCATGAGCAGACCATTATTTGTAGGCAGTTATTTGCAGGTCACTTGGTGGGCTCCCAGCCAATGAAAATGGGAGAAAAAACCATCAAATGACAATTTAAAAATATTTGCAAGTTTAGGTAAATAATTATTTTGAGTTGTTTCACATAACTATTCCAGTAATCAATGTATGCAAACATTTAACTTAAAAAAAAAGCGAAAATATCGATTTCCATTCTGAGCTGGACCAAAATGAGAACATTTCATCCATAACATCTGCATGGTTACACTATACGAAAGACACACATTATGATGGGATTGTTTCTGCAATATAACGAGAAATAAGTGAAAGATATCAATACTGTTCCATTGACTTTCTTCCTTTAACATTCCTCGGCAGATCAAACAACAGAAAGTTCAGGTGCGGATATAGTTTTTCTGGTAGACTCCTCTAGTGGCGTCACCGAAGACAACTACAGGAAAGTAAAGGCTTTTGTGACTTCCTTAGCGCAACAGCTCAAATTCGGGTTAGACAAGACGCGTGTGGGAGTGATCCTTTACGGTGACTACGCGAGACTAGCAGCCCGCTTCAATGTCGTTAAGAACGCAGAAAACCTTCGAAGGTTACTTGATGGTATTGCACGACTTCAAGGGGGTAGAAGAATTGATAGGGCGCTAGTAAGGGCAGCTCAGCTATTCGGAGAGAGTAGACCGAATGTTCGTCGAATACTAGTGCTACTAACAAGTGGAAGACATACATCTAACTCCGAAAATCCTTTCCGAGATGCCGTGCAACGGCTGGAGACGAAAGGTGTCGACAGGTTCGTTGCCGCCATTGGACCAAATCCAGATCCGGAGCTGACTGTAGTTGCGGAAAGAGAAGATGTTATCCGTGTACGTTCCTTCGACAGCTTGCAGTGGCAGGTCAGACAAATTGCAAAGCACATTCTCAAAGGTTGGTTGTATCACTTAAATAACCTGAAGCCATGTGTATCAAATTGTAATTCAACGAGCCATAATGCATGCGTCGTCTCTGTGTATGTTCTCTGAAATTATTTACCAGCCCAGGATTGCACGTTGCCAATATTTCATGCTAATCAAGTTTAGAAATTAAATTGAAGCTTCGTTTTTTAACTATGAAATATACATTTCAAGAAAATCTCAGACTTCTGCAGAAAGACTTTCTGTTATTCAATTCGAGAAATGGTTATTTTCAAAGTAATTGGTTACTCTAAATAAAAAAAATAGTCGTATAGAAAACGGTGCTTTAGCCAGATCATTATCCATATCCAAGACTTAACCATGTCTTTGTTTGCTATGTAGAAGTAACACCAACACCGACAACAACCCCGACAACAACCCCGACAACAACCCCTTCAACTGTAACGATGAGCACAACGCCGACACCAACGATAACACCCGGCTTCAAGGCTGACATAATTTTCCTGATCGATTCGGCGTTTGACGTCACCACTAATAACTTCAATACAGAGAAAGAGTTCGTTAAGGATCTTTCAGCTGCTCTCAATCTCTCACCAAGTGGTTCTCGCGTGGCCATAATTATTTACGCCTCCTCTCCTAGTCTAAAAATAGAGCTTGGAGCACAGAAAACGCCTGAGTCCTTGAGCCGTGGTCTCGACAGACTCACGCGTCTCACGGGAATGCGAAGAATGGACCGTGCCTTGGAATTTGCATCCGTTAACTTTGACAACAACCTTCCCAAAGCGGTGAGGAAAATCGTCGTCCTTTTTGCGTCTGGTAAACAAACTGGAGGAGGTAAACCCTTAAGTGAGGCCGTGAAAAGTTTGCAGAAAATCAACGCAGAAAGATATGTTGTAGCCATCGGCTCTCAAGTCAGTGAATCCGAGTTACGCCCAGTTGTTTCTAGGAGGAACGACATCATTCTAGTGCCTTCCTTTGATTTGCTCACCTCCAAAGTGAAGACTGTTACTGAACAAATTATAAATGGTATGTTCTGATTGTGTTTCTTTAATACTCCCATGCACTCGAGAATTTGCAATAAGAAGAGGTTTGTATTCTACAGACTATGTCGTGAGATCATGGAATATTTACGTCTGACATCAACGGTGGAACTTGATTTACTTCACAAATGATGGCCATTTCGTATAACTTTAGTCAGCCACACACTGAATTTCTTACATTAAGCCATTAACAACATTTCTTACATTAAGCCATTAACAACAGCCTTGAAGTAGAATGCTCCTAATAAAAATGACACTCGTTCGGATGTAATGTCTCAGATATTGAAATAGAACTTATTATCTGCTTACTTAGGCTCAAGATCGTATTGTTAAAAAACGTCCTCATTTCCTTTACAAACTAAAAGTTTTGATAAGTAATCACAGCATTGAGTGTGGCTTTTCCAGCTAAAAAACAGGGGATTTTCTTTTAACGTACAAAAACATGTTTGAGAATCAAGATCTGATACGGTCAGATACTGTGGAAACATTAAGCCATTAACAACAGCCTTGAAGTAGAATGCTCCTAATAAAAATGACACTCGTTCGGATGTAATGTCTCAGATATTGAAATAGAACTTATTATCTGCTTACTAAGGCTCAAGATCGTCGATTCCATCTGAATTTAAATCTGACATTCTTTTCATTATGGATTCGTCATCCCCTGTCAACCGGGACGACTTCCAGAGACAAAAAGAAGTTGTCAAGTCGATTATGAAATCATTCCACGTCACACGCGGACAATCTCGAGCCGCTGTTATCACGTACGGTCAGTATTCGGAGAAGCTGTTACGTTTTAACAGCTATCTGTCCCTGAATCACATGGAGAGTGTCGTAGACACAGCAACGAGTATCGGAGGCTCGCCCCGTATTGACGAAGTGCTAGTTGATGCCGCTGATGTCTTAAGAGATGCCAATCAATCAATACCCAGAATTGTCATTATGTTTACAACTGTTCGCGACCTCACTGATTCACACAAGAAAGCTATTGACAAAGCTTCGGAGGTGATTCACGACACGGGAGCCAGAGTGTACATTATAGCTGTTGGAAAGGATATTGATATTGGGAGTTTGAAAAAGGTGGCTGATTCTCCAGTAGACGTCTTTAAAGTACAGACGTTTAAAGATCTAAATGATTCAATGGCTGAGATGATTTACCAGAGAGTGGGTAAGTTTCTTATTTTCCGCGCATACTGTATTAGGAAAAAGGAAACAAATCATTCAAGTTTTAAATTCATACTATCTTTTCTCAGGCTAGAAGTTAAGCTATTTTTTTCGAAAATGAGACAGAAATGAGAAAACATCGCTAATACCTTATATTTGAACTCAATAACGTTGCTCGTTTCATTTTTCTGTAAGCCACTGTTGCAATATCCAATGCGAAAGACGGAAACCATAAAATCGATCATTTTCTTCTATCTACTTTTTCTTATCATTTTGTCTTGTTAAATCGAGTTCTGATTTCTGCTTTGAAGAATGAATGCCTATGTCTTTGCGAGTATCAGTTCAAATGATTTACACTGAGATCTTTGGCGATTTGTGCAGTAAAAGTAATACACATAAAAGTTTATTATTGCTCTGCTGTTTCTCTAATGCATCAATTTACCAGCTAATAGCTACGAGAGGAGCATGAGAAAACACTTTTTTTTCTCCCATCTTGAATTGTAGAATTACCTAAACCAGTGGTACCGATGGATTTTACGGGTGATGTTATCTTTCTTGTGGACTCTTCCTCCGAAGTAAGTCGAGAGCAATTCAAAAAAGAGAAATATTTCGTTGCGTCTTTGGCCAAAGTTCTTAACCTCGGCCCTGCAAAAACCCGAGGATCTGCGATAACCTATGGTAGATATGCGTTGGTTGGAATCGAATTCGACGACCATCCAAACCCAACAGCATTTGAGCAAGCAGTCGATGAACTCCCCCAAATTTCTTTCCACCGTAGAATGGACAAGGCTTTGCGAAGAAGTGCGGATATAGTAAAAGTTGCCCGTGCTGACGTCCCTAAAGTCGTCCTCCTCTTGACAGCCGGACGTCAGAGCCCTCCAAGGAATACTTTGCTTCCATCCGTTAAATCGCTGAAAGACCTTGGTACCAGTGTCTTTGTCATTGGAATAGGCTCACGGCCAGATGGTCAAGAGTTACGCTCTATTGTTGAGGAGCCTGGAGACGTGCTGAGGGTATCGACATTTGATGACTTCTCTCCATCGAGGACGAGACAAATCGCGAGGCACATAGTGAACAGAACAGGTAAAAACAATATTTTGATTATGTGCGCTAAATAACAATTCCCACCCTAACAAAGAGATGAAAATCACATGTGTTTATTTTGTATTGGGCCACTTATTCACTGAGGAATCTCTCATCACACATCCACCAAATGAAATAAAAGTTCAGGAAATCATCGATGAACTTGTTGACTGAATACTTCTGAAAATTGTGAAAAACGAAAGAATGATAAATCTTGGTCCGAGCAAAGCTCTTCGAAATTGTTCTTGAGCTTACACCTGGCTTTAATGAAACGCGATCGTTACTGCCTTCTTTTCGTAACCGTTTCAGTCAATAAGTTTCCTGTGTTGTACGGTTAAAAAAAAATACGATATTGCATACCATAAAAGTAATGAAATATTATTCATGATTAATACTCTCCCACAAGCTAAAAACTATCATTAGAATTACAGAAATAATCTGATGAAGTAGTAAACACGAATGATGAGCAAAAAGGTTAATTTGCATAGGTATAGTGCAACGAATATTTTTTGACATGTTGAAAAATCTAACAAGGTCTTCGTACGTAATATGTCTGGTTCGCTTAGATATTCCTCCAATGCCCCCATGCTGGCACACTATGGGGACATCGGTTAACGCTCCTCACCGAGCAACATTGTCATAAATTCATTTTTTTATAATACAGATTATCGGACGCTAGACATTGATGCTGACATCGTTTTCCTGTTGGACACCTCCGGTTTTGGGGCTCAAGGAAACTTCGTGAAAGAGAAGGACTTTGTCAAATCCATGGCTAAAGTCTTAAATGTTGCTCCTGAATTTTCAAGAGCCGCTGTAATACTTTTTGGCACTTTTCCGGATACGAAAGTAAAGTTTGATGGGTACCGCACTTTGAGTGACTTCAATGGGCTTGTAGATAAGGCGCAGCCTTCTCGAGGTTCAAGGCGAATCGATCGCTCGCTAGAGGAGGCATCAAAAGTACTAGTCGACAGAAGGCGAGGTGTACCATATATTGTTGTACTCGTGACCAGTGGAAGACAATCACAGAGTGGAAATAGTATTTCTTTTGAAGATGCCGTTAAACCATTGGACAAAATTGGAGCTCACACGTTTGTCGTTGCGATTGGCCATGATCCAGATACATCGAAAAACGTTTTACCCGTACCCTCCTTCAACGACCTTCACTCTCGTGTTTATAAAATGGCAAGACAGATCAAGACCGCTAGTGGTAATTACTCTTATGAAGGAGGTTTCCTCCGCAATTTATCGAGGCTCCTGTCGAACGATTTTAAAAAGCTCACATTACCAAACAGTACATTTTAAGTTTTGAAATTGGAGTAGTATTGTTTATTTTTGAAACCAGTATCAATCACTCTCTCAAAATATCATCATCCAAAACTCCATTTTTGTACTTAAAAGAGTTACGGTACCCCTTTGGGATATCATAGATACAAAATATTTTAAATTTTCGAACGTCAAGCCTAGAAGGTTATGAATGCTTACTAATCTTCTTGCTCCATAAGTTTAGATTCACCAGTAAAAAAGTTATCAAAAACTATTGAGGTATATTAAGCCCATAATAGCAGTTACTGCTATTCCTGTATGTGAATACAAGATCTCTGTTATAGAGAAACATAACTGATATACTGACTCTCTCTTGTATTCTTCATGACTAATATTGCATATTGCATTTTCTCTCTCTTATTTCAGAGCCAAAACCAGCAAATATCTCCGCAGATATCATTTTCCTTATGGACTCTTCAACCTCTGTTGGTCGAGAAGGCTTCGATAAACAAAAGAGCTTTGTCAAATCCTTAGCAAAGTACTTCAATGTCTCACCAGGAAAATCCAGAGCGACTGTTATCGCCTACAATAACACCGCTCGCACCGTTGTCAAGTTCACTGATTATCAGTCGGAAACAAACTTTAACGAAAGGCTTGATAGGCAGCCGTGGGTTGGTGGTGACCGACGTATCGACCGCGCTCTGAGGACAGCGGAATCCCAAATGCGACAGACACGTTCGGGAGTTCCAAAAATCCTTATCCTTCTCACAGCAGGCAGGCAGCCGAGAAGTCCTGATGTTGTGCCAATAGGAACTGCTTCCCAGCCATTGAGAGATATGGGAATCAAGAACATTGTTGTTACGGTTGGAAACGAAGTAGATCGCAAAGATCTGGTTGGTATGGTTCAAAGTTCAGACGACATATTCAGTGTGGCACTGTTTGATGACCTTCGCTATGAGGTGCAGCCAGTCGTGAAATACACTGTTAATTTTTTCGGTGAGTAATCAACTCAATTGATGGGAGCAAAATCATCATAATTTTTTCTTAGCTTGAACAATGACTCAAAGTTGTCGTGAAGCATCCTTGCTGTTCGGCTTACATAACTCAGAATTTAGTCATTTCAAAGATTCATCTATTATTTTTTTTTGCAAAGTAATTTGATGAAAATTTCATGCTGCACCTATAGGTACTAAAAACCTTACTATGAGGGGCTTTAGTCGGAACTCCAAAATTTGTTACCCGCGTAGTGGCCATCTTTTGAACTCTTCTCATCCAAATGGTATAAGAAGTAATATTTTAATAATTTTGGTTTGTATTAAAAGAAACACAAGCTTTCTAAGGGCACTTTACTTTACCTTTTGATCAGCTTCTCGAGACCCAGAGCTTGAAAAAACCACAAAAGAGATGGAACACCCATCGACTAAGTTTTCAAAATTCTTTGCACTTATTTTTTTATTTTTTTATTTATTCACCCTCTCTTTTACTCCATCAGAATTGCCCATTTATGATATAAAGGCAGAAGTGCTCTTCCTATTAGACGCCTCTAAACAGACTGGGCGAGAAAACTTTGACAAACAAAAGGCGTTTATCAAACTACTGGCTCGATCTCTTAACGTTTCTCCCGGAAAATCCACTGCGGCTGTGATAGCATACTCCTCAGATGCAATTATTAACATAGCGCTGGGTAATTACGATACCGTTCAAGAATTTGAACGCAACGTGGATAGCATACCTTTCTTTGGAGACTCTAGAAAACTGTATAGAGCATTGGAAGAGGCCGCTCACTTGTTTCAAAATGCTACATATTCTGATGTTGACAGAAAGGTCATCTTGATAACTGGAGGGAGACAGACACCAGACGAAGATGAGGAGCCACTAGATAAATTTAAGAAGTTGCTCCTTGATTTTGGTGCCCTCCCATTCATTGTTGCTGTAGGGAACGACCATGACAACCAAACACTTAGAACTGCTGTCGCAGATCCCGGCGACATTTTCAGAATTCCAACTTTCATTGAGTTGTTATCTTCTGTATCTTCCACTGCTGCCAGAATAGCCAACAGGAAAGGTCAGTCACATCCCTTTGTGCCATTCAAAGTATTGCCCCTTCCTTTAACTCCAGAACATACCAAGTGACCCGCAAACGACTGCATGGAAATAATCGTCAATACCGTCTAAGAGCGTTTTTTTTTTTTTTCAAAATCGCATTCTTGCTCAATACAATAGTGGATCATAAGGGTGTCAGATAATAATTTTTACTGAAAATCGACAAGAAAAACAAACGGTTATCTAAGGAAAAAACAACTATGGATAGGCATTTGTCTTGTTAACGAGCAAAGATATCGAAAATGTTATTTAATTGTAAGCAATTCTCTGGTGGTAAGTTTGTGAACTCACATAATACAGGAATGTTACTTGTTCCTAACTTGCATACAGTGTAATAAAGACACTAAGTTGATTTAAACGTGTAGTTCAGTTTTGACACAAATCTTTCCTTTATCAAATTAGCGCCTCCGATGAAACAAGACGAATACATTATCTTTCTCTTGGACTCTTCGTCTACCGTGCAACAAGGACAGTTCCAAAGACAAAAGGACTTCATTAAGTCTTTGGCAGAATACTTGCAAATTGGAAGCTCTGATAAAACCAAGGCTGCCGTCATCAATTACGGAAGTGTGCCTTCAGCAAGAATTAAATTTGATGATTACACGAACCTTAAAGGCTTTGAAAGTGGTATTGATAGGATCACTCCGGTTCGAGGAAGCAGACGAATCGATCAAGCCCTCGGTGAGGCGGCTGTCATTCTGAGAGATATTGATCAATCGTCCAAAAAAATTCTTCTCCTTCTGACGGCTGGGCAACAGGCTAAAGAATCTGATGTCACCCCTCTCGATGTAGCTATCGGACCAATGCGAGACATGAGATCCCACATGTACGTGGTCGCTCTTGGTAATGAGCCGAGCACACAAGAGCTTCGTCCGTTAGTGACAAAGCTGGAGGATATGTTCCGTGTACCATTTAATTTCATGGAACGTATAGTACCAAGTATTGTTGACCACATACGTAAAGGTATTTGATGGCTGAGTTTCTCTACAGCTTAACATAAAGAACGAAAATATCTGAAAAGTACATGACAGCTTCGAACCCTTTTAAGCATTTCATATCAGCTGACAGTGTTTATTCACTTGTTTTGTTTCTGACCTCGGCGAAGGGAAGGTGACAAACATCTTGACCAGCTTAATTCTGGTCAATAGCTAAGTCAAGTGAAGAGCTATTTGTTGGCCGAATAGTACAATTGAGGAGAGCAGCTTCTGTCGATTAAGATTGGTCAATCTTCAATTTTTTCATATCATGAATTTAGGTCGTCTGTTGGTTGCGTTGGTTATGTTAGTTTATTACATCCATTTTGAAATACTGATGATACTTGTAATCCGATTGGCTCTCATTGGTGTGATTTTTTAACAAATTGCACCTATTTTCTCATCTTTTTCCCAGCTAATGAGGTAGCTTTACTAAAATACAACAGGCAATCACATTTCAATGCTTGGAAGGAACTGTAGGAAAATTAGAACAACTTTTGCAACTTTCTAAGAACCTGCTCACTCCTGGATCAACAAAATATTTGTACAGACTTTCCAATCTCGTATTTGAGTGACTGAAGTTTGTGATTTCAAAATGGATGTAGTTCAATTATCAACATCGCCAGCGTCCCTCAAATGAAACATTTATATGTCCTAGTTCCTCTGTTTACGTAAATCGTTTTTGTCAGTCGTATCATATCAAGGGAAATCAAGTCTAGATCGCGGGAAACTTCTGTTCCATTTTAGTACAATCATAGACACTACGTTAAAGGAATTTAAAGCTCAGATTGATGTCTTTTACCTGTATGTTTCAGAAAATCCATACCCGGGGCCCACACACGATGTCTTGTTTCTAATGGACTCATCCGATGTTGGTAGGTCCGATTTCTATCAAGAAATCCGCTTTGTGAGAGTTTTAGCCAGAGAATTGAGCGTAACTCCAGCTGAATTCCAAATGGCGGTTGTCACTTACGGAAACAGATTTTCCTCAGTAGTACGTTTCGGCAGTTACGATTCTCTACGAGAATTCGACACTGCAGTCAGCGCCAGTGTCTATCAAGGTGGAGCAAGAAGAATGGATAGAGCATTTGAAGCGGCGTCAACGATTTTGTCATCAAGAAACCCAGCATCCAAGAAAACAGTAGTTCTCCTGACTGGCGGTAGGAACTCCAGGGATGCTGATCCGAACTCTCTTTTACGTTCAGTTCAGCCTCTGTTCAAAATGGAAGCAACAGTTATAGCTATGGCATTTGGCGATAGATACGATGAGCAAGAGCTTCTCCCAACTGTGAAAAAGCCGCAAGATATCCGCTCAGTGCCACAGGCTTATGATCTCGTCCGATACGTTAGCGAAATTTCAAGACGCATCATCAACGGTCCAGTTGGTAAGTAGTATAAAATGTCTTACCCTGCATGCACAATTTGTATCAGCATAGGGAATGGTGCAAGAATCAACCATGTAGCGATATCGTACGAATGAGTAAAGCCCTGCAAATAACTACTTTCATTGCCCGTCACTAGAGTGATCCCATCGGTCTTCTTTGGACTCCCTTAAACAAGATGATTCAGGACATTCCATAAAAATACATTACAGTAGAATATAATTCAACAAAGAATTCAATAAAGGTGAAAGGCATTTTTTAAAAACCAAAATTGACAAAAATCATGCTGAGGACCATACTCGTCGAGGAATTATGCTACACGATCGGCAGTTTTTCATTTGTCTTCATAAAAAAAAATTAATTAAACAAAGTAAGAATCAGCATCTATGTCCTCTAAGAGGGTGTTGGATTTAACGGATGATTAAAGACCAACGGTGTCTAAACTGGGCCAGTGTTAAACCGGGGCCTGGTAATATTTTTGTTTTTTGTTGTTGTTTTTCTTTGTTGTTTTCAGGCTCACTTTTAATTACACATCCTTGGAGACCGAGGGGTAGCTTTTGAAGATCGCAACCTTTTCCCCCTCCATCTAGACAAATTGGAATATTTTCATGTAAAACAATTGAAGAATTAACACGGCTGTGTGTTCCAGCAGTGCCAACCAATCGAATGGAACATATCTATTAGATGTGCACCAAACTACTCCATTCAAGGATGCGGAATACAATTTTAACTTCATCTACATGCAGCAAATTGCATTTGGGAAAAACATAGAAATGTAATCAATTGCTCAAACATGTTTTAGTGTGTGATAAGTTTTCTTCTATTTGAATATGTCCTTCGTCTTCGAAAATTAGCGATACATATAATCCAGAAAAATTTTCTTTGCTGTTTATAAACGATGTTCATGTACTCTCTTATAATGTAAATCTGTTCTAGAGCCAAAGACACCAAAATTGGATGCCGATGTCCTATTCGTTATGGATTCTTCTTACGAAGTCAATCAAGAAGAGTACAAGTCTGAGAAAGACTTCATCAAGTCTCTTATTCGAAGTCTGAACGTGTCGACAGATACATCCCGTGCGGCCCTGATTTCCTACGGTGATCTGGGTTCACTGAGTTCCCGTTTCATTGGCCTTAAAAGAGTTACTGATTTTGACAAGGTAGTTGACAATGCTTCTTACGTTGGTGGAGAAAGAAGGATTGACAGAGCCCTGGAAACTGTGACACAAATTCTGAAGGAAGCAAGAGCTGGATCTTCCAAAGTTGTGATATTCCTCACGGGTGGAAGGCAAGCAAGTAGCGGAAGGCGTCTTGACGAAGTGGTGGGAACGCTTCGCGAAAATGGTGCCAAAACGTATGTCATTGCCATTGGAACGAAATCAGATGCGCAGGAATTCAGACCGCTCGTTGCTTCACCGGAAGATTTGGTTACATTACTTTCGTTTAAGGAGTTAAATTCTCAGATATCAAAGGTTGCAAGTCACATCAGTGAGAAAGCAGGTAATAAACAGGAAAATCATTAATTCTGTAACACAGACTGTACTTTCTGTATAGGTTTGGATACACTTTTTCCGCTATCTTAAGTGGTACTGAGATAAAATGAACAATCCAAAAGAATAATTTAATAACGTAAGTTTATACCTTTTTTTCTATAGAGAAAAGAAAGTGAGAAAAAAAGAACCATGCAATTGTTGATAGAAATGATTTTACATCTTTCAGTTTCATAGAGTTTCTGCTCTTTTCTGTTTCAGTGTAATTGGGATAAATTCGTGAAACTCGCTGACATGTGACAGAACTTGAAAAGTGATAGACGAAACGAGTTACTACACTTGTTGCAGAGCGTAACCATCGATTCCTTCATATAGTGAACACTCACATCCTCTTGGGGCAATTGATTAAGAGAAGCGGAATTAACATTCATGAGCTTGTGATAACAACGCTAAAATGCTGCACCAAACTACTGGTACAGTAATAATTTGAATATATCAACAAAGTTGAAATGGTAAATTGGCCACCGTAACGATTACAAAAGCTGACGTTTCGAGCGTTAGCCCTTCGTCGGAGCGAATAGAGGTATTGTGGGTTGTGTGTGCTTTTAAAGGCAGAAAATGGAGCTACGTTATTGGTGGGAACATGGCAACGAGAAAAACACGAATAAATTTGTGGAATGAAAAGCGTTCGTTCGTTGCCATGTTCCCACCAATAACGTAGCTCCATTTTCTGCCTTTGAAAGCACAGACAACCCACAATTCCTCTATTCGCTCCGACGAAGGGCTAACGCTCGAAACGTCAGCTTTTATAATCGTAACGGTGGCCAATTTACCATTTCAACTTTGTTGATGTATTCAAATTATTTCGTTATCCCCACCGACGCAGCCCCAAACAGTTTCTTTAGAAACTATCAGCCTTTACTAGTACAGTAGATCTTATATTTCGACTAATAATAATTCACATTCGTTATGTCTCCTTTTTTCAATTTCAGTTTGCTTGAGACCAGATTATATCTTAGACGTCGTTTTCCTTGTGGACACATCAACTGGGGTCGACGCTCTGCGCTTAAACGAGAAAAAGACATTTGTCAAGTTGCTGGCTAAGTGTTTTAATGTCTCACCTGGGAAGTCTCGGGCTTCTGTGATCACATTTGGTACTACCACTTCTCGTGAAATCGATTTTAACAGTTATGAGAGCACACAAGCATTTGAAGCGTTGGTAGACGGCATGTCATCAATAGGCGGAGAACGCAGGATAGATAAGGCCCTAGAAGCTGCAGCAGAGGTCTTTAAAAACTCACTTCCCTCCGTCCCCAAATTGGTTGTTCTTTTGACAAGTGGCCGACAACCCGCGAATGCGCTGTCTTTCTCCGAGGCTGCAAAACCTCTGCACTCAATGGGCGCTATATTTTATGTTATTTCCATTGCCAATAATCTCGATAAGAAGTATTTCGAAGCACTAGTGGACCACCCATCGCAGGTATCCCAGGCGTTCTCTTTTGGATCGCTGAACTATGTTTTACCACAAGTGACACAAGGGGTGGAACAGGGTACGTTACACTTTTTCTTAACGTTTGACGTGAATGTATCAAGTTTAGCACCAAGTTATATTTTCGATTTACATTCCCTTACGTTACTATTTTTTTAGTGGAGCAATATACTCCAAAAGTGCCTCATAAAGTTGGTAAAATTTAACTTTTCGGTGAAACAACACTTAAATGCGTATTTTCTATGAATAGAGGTTTTGCACAGCAGCCATGTTGGATGACAGGAACAATAGATTATTTTACCCATGGGAAAAAATTTCTTTCTTATGCAAAATATTTTCATTGTTCCTGCCATCCAACATGGCTGCTGTGCAAAACTTCTATACAAATGACTGTATCGCGTGCTCCGAGTGTATTTGGAAGCGTTGAAGCCTTAATTGCCGCAGACTTTTCAAATGATCCATAACATACCGTTCTACTGAAAACAAGGCTTTTTTTTGCTGAAGGTGTTACTAGCCGAATGCAGTTGAATGCTGACGTTATATTTCTGATGGACGCCTCCACGGCAGAGAACGCAAGATATTTCCGAAGTCAAAAGGACCTCATAAAATCAATCGTGAGGAGTATTGGAAGTTCACCTGATAAACTGCGTGCAAGCTTGGTCATATACAGTTCTTCTGCAACTGTGTTAGCAAGTCTGAATTCTTACACTAACCTTCAGAGCTTTGAAGTAGATGTTGACAGGGCACCATATCTCACAGGTATGTTGTGCCTTGTGTATGAAATTTACGAGCAATAATAAACATCTCAAATAATGCGACACGTGAATGAACGTCTGATGGACTGACTTATAGGTCGACATGCATACTGACTGACGTACAGATGATTGACTGACTAACTGGATAATTTGTTTCTATCAACTGAGTTTGTAATGTAAATTGGCCGCCGTAAAGAAATTTTAAGCTGATGTTTCGAGCTTTAGCCTTTCATCTTTTCGCTCTGACGAAGGACTAACGCTCGTAATGTCAGCTTTAGGCAATTTTTACGGTGGCCGATTTACTTAAAATAAATATATCTTATTAGACGTTTTGTTGTGTAGTATCGCTGAGTATTTTTACGAGTTGTGCCGTATTTTGACGAGCCCGTAGGGCGAGTCAAAATACAAATAACGAGTAAAAATACTCAGCGATACTACACAACAAAACGTCTAATAAGTTATTTATTATTCAACACGCAAAATTGTTATTTTAGTGCAGGCGAATTTCGCAGATATTTATTTACGAGGAGTGCGTGACAGAAGTATGCGAAGCGGAACGGAATTGGCGCGTTGTCGTGTTGCTGTTTCTATTTTCTTCAATAAATAAGAAATTTTCTGGTCGTCTAGCTGTTTTTCTTCGTTCGATTCATCTAATAAACTTGTATCTATATTTGCCAGCCATTCTGACTCTTCGTCGTCAGAAATATGATTCAAATTGTCCCCCATTTTCTTTTTGTCGTAACTACAGTCCAATTCTTCGCTTGCTCGACGCGAGAAAACCTGTTCAACCGGCACTCTAGAGTACAACTACCGCGTGATATTTGTACTCGTCTGTGGCGTTATTTGTACTCTACGAAGTGTAGCTGGATAATAAAACAAATTATCGTGTTAAACCCCAACCGAAGCAGCAACCACATTTTCTTTAGAAGCTTAACCCGCTTTTTCATTAGGACTTTCTGACTGGCTGACTTACGGACTGACTGATTGATTGACTGACGGACTGATCGACTATCTAACTGACTGATTAGCTCACTGACTTACTGATTGACCAACTGACTGACTTACAAACTATAAAACCGACTAACTAACTATAAAACCGACTTACTAACTATAAAACCGACTAACTAACCATAAAACCGACTAACTAACTATAAAACCGACTTACTAACTACAAAACCGACTTATTAACTATAAAATCGACTTATTAACTATAAAACCGACTGACTCATTATGATTTAAGTTTTGGCTAACTGACCATCTGACTTACTGATTTACTTACTGGCTGACCAATTATAAAAACTAAGATAGGTCAATTCATAAAGTCTGCATTTAAGTACCATGCTCTTTTATCTTTTTAAAAAAATCTGCACTCACGTATTTGCCAATCTATTAACGTTAAAACGCCTTTTACCTGATTGCTGTCTTTGTTTGTTTATTCTTTATTTCTTAGGTCGGAGGCGAATGGACTTGGCTCTTGCTGCCGCTGCCGGACAGCTGTCGCAATCGAGACCAAATGCTGCAAAGATTGTCATTTTGATCACCACCGGACTACAGGCTCAAGTGGTTGGCATGACGCCACTAGATGAAGCATCCAAACCCTTACACGATGCTAACGCTAACATATTTGTGATTGGCATTGGTAAAAAACCTGATCTCCGAGAGCTTACCATGGTCACGAAAAATCCTGTCGAAATCATTCCAACCCCAGACAACGTCATCGTTAACATACATTTGTGGTTAAGACAACTTAGACAGCAGGTCAATAAAGGTAGGACAGGACCAAATGAACCATATTAAATAGCTGATTATTTTATGAAGTCGGGTAGCTCCATAGATTGGTTCTTCTTCCACTGAACTCGGGGTCGATTGGGAATTTTTTGGCTGGTTTTTGTGTGTCGGTGTACTTGTATTTAATATTCTACAGACCCTCACACGCAATCTCATTGAATACACTTGCGAAAGCTGACGTGTATGCGGCCGGACATTTGAAGTGGACCGGAGCCTTCTTGCCCTACACTCGCACGGCTCTTTTTCACTTACCGGAAACATTGATTGAAACTTTGGACTTCGATCTGAAACAGAACAGATGAGAAAATGAGCCAGGCTTCTAGATGAAATATAAGTTTCTTGTTGTGACTCCGAAAAAAAGAAATTTTTCTTTTTCTGAGAACCTTTCAGTCGTCCTATGCGCGCCCTTCTATTGCATGCAGTACGTCCAGTCTGGGACAAAACAAAAGTTTCGAAATTTTCAACACTTACCACAATGGTAAAATGACGAAGTGCTTATTTCCTTCCTCGTAGAAAAAGAATCACCACTCATATACAAGGCAGATCTCATATTTCTTGTGGACTCGTCCAACGATGTTAACAGTGAAGTTTTCAAAGAACAGAAAGACTTCATCAAGTCAATCGTTGGAAAATTCCTTATCGCATCGAATCAAACCAGAGTGGCGGTGGTAAGGTATAGCTCTAGTGCTGCATCTGTCATTACTTTCAGTACCTTTGAGAACCTTCTCGATCTGGTTAGAGGTATTGACCGCATTCGGTACGTTGGTGGTATACGGCGAATGGATGCAGCTCTCAAAGAAGCCAATAAACTTCGAGAAACAGCTCGATCAGACGTCCCGACCTATGTTATATTTCTGACAGCTGGGCGTCAAGCACTGACAGCAGTTTCTACTCCACTCGACAGGGCTGCTCAACCAATACTTGACTCCACCGCACGTATGTTTGTTGTAGGCATTGGCCCTCGTCCCGAAGAGATGGAATTGCGTTCCATGGTGGAACGTAGTAGAGATGTCTTTAGGTTCCCTTCAGAGAAATTGCAAGAAGAAGTTCCGTTGTTTGTGATATACATGGCATCCCAAACAGGTATGCACGGACTTTTGAACATGTGAGCATAATCTTTACCTGGTGTGATTATTTTTAGGTGCTCTTACCTTAGTGCATACTAAGGGATCGTGAACCCTCTGAATGAACAAATAATCGAAAAAGAAAATTTAAAATAGATTAAGAATTCAACCTCATTTTTCGATTGAACCTTTAAAAGGCTTTAAAGGTAGCGGTATATACTAAAACAGTGAGATAATATAGCACAGAAAGAACATTTTAACAAATTTATTCCAGCTATGACTACAACATATACGGGCGCAACAAATCCCGCACGAGTTTCTCGGATGTGAGTAGCAAAAGATATTCGCGGTTTGAGTTGCCAATTAGAGCGCGGCTTCAAGACTATCGGCTGATTTAGTATCTACTAAAGATGTATATAAATTATGATGTTGGCGCATTTCTAGAGTATCATGGGGTAGCTTTAGTTGTATCGAGAAATCAACGATGTAGTCGCTTCTATTTACAGGCGCACCAATGCTGAGAGGCTTTAAAGCTGATATTCTGTTCCTGGTAGACTCCTCCCAAACCATCAGCAAGAGGAAGTTCCTTAGAGAACTTGAATTTGTCAAGGCATTCGCTCGCAAGTTTGACATCTCTCCGGATAAATCACGCGTTGGCGTTATAACTTTTGGTAGCACACCGATTCCCAGCATTCGATTCGAAGAATACGGCAACATATTATCGTTTTCAGAAGGTGTTGACGTCGTTCCTTACCAGGGAGGACAGAAACGTCTAGACAAAGCGTTGATATTTGCTGCAAGAGTTCTCTCTAAGGCGCGGCCGAAAGCTATTAAACTCCTGGTATTACTAACAGATGGGCAGCAGCCACTTGGTTACGACCAAAAGGAGGTTTCCGTTGATCTGCTGCATCGATTAGGGGTGCACATCAATATCGTCGGAGCTGGAAGAAATGTTTCGATGCAAGAACTAAGAAAATTGACGTTAAGTCCTGATGACCTGTTTTACTCGAGGACGTTCGATACTTTGATTCTTCAGTCCCCAGTCGTTTTCAAACGCACAATGAACGGTAAGTGTACAGTTGAAACTGTTCAGCTGTAGAGCTTTCAATTGTTTTTGGAGCCTCTGTTTTATTACTCCCGATAAAAGAATTGACAAATAGAGCCGAAAATAAAGAAATTGTCGCCATGACTTGCATTCATTCCCCACAGTTAATCTCGAAGGTCGTGTAGCCATGAAATTAACAAATCATACTTTAACCCGCCTAAAAGGGGAAAAAATTACTCTTTTTAATGTAAATTTTACTCTTTTTGTTATATGCGGATCACTTCCGATTACGGCCCTAAGGAAAAAGTTTCAAAGCTTTTTTCGTTGAATTTGTAGAGTAAATTCTATTTCTTTATTGCCAAAGATATGGTTTTCTTTATCTTTCATATGTTTAATATTTATATTTTTTATATTTGACAGTTGTGCAATCGCACCACCAACTTCAACACGGCCTTTTCCTAGTCGATTCATCATTGTATCGCACTAGGGGGGAGTTTGAAAGCCAGATAAACTTCGTCAAGTCAATAGCTAAACGTCTTCATGTGTCCCCAACCGGAACACGCGCTGGAGTCATTCTGTATGGTAACGAACCCAAGCTGAGTGTAGGACTAAATGAGTATAGTACTCTTCCGGAACTGTACACTTTATTGGATAATCTCGCCCTTGAAAGCGGTGGTCGTCAACTCCATAAGGTAAATAACTAACTACCAGTAGGTTATACATCGTGTATTTGAAAAATGAACTGTAGTGGATATGAAATACTTAAAATCGTACGAGGTTTGAAAAATATGAAAAATAAGGGGAAACTCTTGGAAAGCTATTGACTCTAGGTTATTTAATGGACAAAATGGCGGACCCATGGCCAGGGAAAGGATTGAAATTGTGTCTCCGGTAGTCAATCTAAAGTTCATATGCGAAAAAATTGTCCAACCGGAGAGGGTTACCCTACCTGCCGAGCAGAGACATATCACCTAATCGATTTTCTCAGTCGCCGAGAGGAGTTCGAGATTCTAATTTAAACAAAAAATTAGCTTGGCCAGGGTAACTCGAAAGGAAGTGGTTTTCTTGGCTACTCGAGAGCATGTGAATGACCTCTGAAGCAAAGCCTTGAATTTGCAGTCTGCTATCTATTAGGTTACCAGTCATTTAAAATGGTGCTTAGGTCGAGGGAACTTGTGGCTATTTTAGTATATTTTAGTGCTGATAGAAATTTAACTTAACCATTTTTCTTTCTTACAAGGCGCTAATATTAGCCAGGGAAACTCTGCAGAAATCTCCTCAGGAAATACCTAAGTTCGTTGTTGTCATCTTAGAGGGTCAACAGTACTCTTCAGGCTCATTATCGTTACTACGTGATGCAGTCAGGCCTCTTCAAGCCCTCGGCGTCACTGTCTATGTTATTGGAATTGGAGAAAAGCTGAACAGACAAGAACTCTACACCATGGTACAGACCTCTCAATACATTATACGGGTGCCGCGTTTTACCGAACTGTTACGTCAGATGGAGTTCATCGCATATCGCATAGGTAAGACAAAGACGTCCAATAAATGGTAAATGAAGATCTTGGTCCTATCAAACTGAGTTCATAACGTAAATTGGCGCCTTAAAGAGTTTCTAAAGCTGTGTGAGTGTTGGTCCTTCGCTCTGACGACGCCAAGGGCTAACGCTCGAAACGGCCGCTTTAAAAACTCTTCCAATTACATTATTATCTCAGTTGATAAAACCAATGATCTTTTACACCCCTACCGAGGCGGCACTTCACTTTCTTTAGAAACTTACCCCTTGAACTGGTAAATCAAACGACCAATGGACCTCTTGTCTGATGAGAGGGACTGAGTCTAGAGGGAGGCCTTAAAGGTTTGCAGATTTAACGAACTTTTTTTTTTAAAAAAAGTAGAACTGAAAATGACGTCAATTTAGTATGGGCTGAAAATTTTTTCCCGTGTTACACCGAGATTCTTTCTATCTTTGAGTTAGGATTATAGAAAAGCATTGTCAATCTTCAGTCGGACTTGGTCGGCTTTTGCGGTTTTTGACTCGGAGAAAGTTGAGGAACCTCCCTGGAGACTCGGACGTTTTACGACTCCCTTTCTAATACAAAAACGCTACTTTTCACGGGAAATTCCTAGCAGGTACCTTATTGCAAGCCCATCCTTTATTATGTTATCCCAACCTGCTCCCTATCACGTGCCCGATCTACTTGACTCGATGTACCTACTTTATGAGAGTATAGGAGAAAAGAAGTCATAAAGGACATTCTCTAGAAATTCTAAATAAGTTTACCTTTTCATGAACTTCTACGGAAACTTAGTGAATTATTGTTGTTTTTTTTCTCCAAAGAAACGACATTAACAGATCCATGTCACGAAACCCTTGATGTGGGATTTGTGATCGATGCTTCCGGTAGCGTAGGAATGGACAGGTTTTCAAGGGAGAAGAATTTCGTGAAGCTGGTCTCCAGGCGTTTTGCAGCAATATCTCCTGACACGAGACTAGGTCTTCTGGTGTTCAGTGATACGCCAAAGCTATCCGTCGACTTTGCTGACTATGAAGGTAAAACGATCGAACAATTTCAAGCAAACGTGGCAGAAGTTGAGTTCCAAGATGGAAGATCAAGAATAGACCTGGCCTTGAGGGCAGCATCACAAGATTTCTTCACCAATAGACGGAGCGGAGTTCCAAGGGTTAGTAAGAAAAAATGAAGGAGGTTTCTGGTATAACTCTTTTACCATATGAGTTGGGACTTGGATAATTGTTTCAATTAAACAAAGCTCTCAATATCAGAACGAGTCTTAAATGTTTCAGCCGTCTTTAATATTTCTTAACACGGTCTGATGCGTTCATTCCGATGCTATCATTATATCGTCTAGGTTTTAATCCTGGTCTCAGATGGACGTCTGTCAGAAGATCCGGGATATTATCCGTTAGCTACCGCTGTAAAACCTCTGCAGGCTCAACGAGTGAGAATCGTAGGTGTCGGTTTTGGAGACAGTGTAGACGTTGACAACTTAAAGGAGATCACCGGAAGCAAAGATCGTATTCTTTTAGATGAAGAGATCGACGACCTCGACAGACTTCAAATGGAGCTCGTATCAAAAGCCTGCGAAGCCTAGAACAAGTAAGTAACCCAGCTGGTAAAGATCCAAACTTCCTTCTCAAAAAAAAAAGAAAACTATTGTAAACAGCCGAGCCACGCTAAAACAATCCGTCCTTATAAAAACATCTCAACAGACTTAGTTTTTTTCACCAGATTGTTGTTGTTGTTTCTTTTTTTTGAGTATGTCCGTTTGCGGAACTCTTGAGGGTATTACATAAGGAGGTGACTATCCATCCTTTGATTTTGGTTTCATTTTGGAGTGCAAGACATGCCAACCAGTAGTATAGTAGAACAACAATTTCGCCAGCGTGCCATGGTGTTAATTGCTGTTAATATCATTAACATTTCAGAATAAAAAAAATATATCACAACCGCTCATCGCCCGTCTGTCTAAGAGACTCCATAATGCTTCAAATGTATGTCATGAGAAAGCAAGAAATTGCCTTAAAAAATTGATGAGGTTTTCAAAACAAATAATAAACAAGTACTAACTGCCTCGTTAACAAATTAGCCATTTTCTAAACGAGCGGCGGTCTGGGTACGATTTGCCACCATAAAGGCTCTTGGGAACGTTTGGAGGGACAACGTGAAGGTAAAAAAATATGGTGCACTAACTGCTGTATTCCAGGCTGCACTAACAGTTACAGAAATGCACCTACCTTTACAAAGCTTACATTTCACCGCATTTTAACTATTGTTCCTCAGTTTGGCACTTTTGTGGGGCGCGGAATACGGATAAACTAGAGGCGCTGAATAAGAGAATGATTAGATTTATACTAAGGGATTACTTGTCGCCATATGATAGCCTTCTGACTAAGGTCAACACTAGTTCCTTATGTAATGGGCGTATCCAGAATTTCCTTATTTTATTGTACAAGGGCTTGTTTTTCACTCATTTCCCAGCTTATATGAGAGGTATGTTTTCACTTCGGTCCTCTTCTTAAAATCTTCGCGGTAATTACATACTGTCACTTAGAAAACCTAGAACAACTAATTATGGCCTTAATTCATTTTCATACTTCTCAGCTAAGCTATGGAATACACTGCCTGACTATATCCGCATGAGTGCATTTAAAGACTTTAGAAAGATAATCCAAGGCCGTATCTTTGTATAGTCGCTCCAGCTTATCTTCACTTTTCTGTTAATTTTTACTGATATGTTACATAATTACATTTCTAAATACTGTGTATTTTAGTATATTTTAGTATAGTTAGTATTTTAGATCTTGTACAGATATATGTATGAATATATATAGATAATCTCCATTTTATGTTTTCTCGAAGATATTAGCTCCAACAAGCTACTCTAAAATTCGAGATGAAATAAAGTTTATGATGATAATGATGATGATGACCTAACCTTCAGTCAGTTGTAGAATTCCTAAAGACCCTGATACACGTAGAAAGAACGTGGTTCTTATGAGGAACGAGACGCTGAAATTAGATTCTACGAGTACGCAGATTTGTTCAGCTCATTTCGATGGAGGAGAAAAACTTAGCAGAACACGCTTGCCTTCAATTTTTCCATGGACAGAGAACTCAAGCGGGCCAGTTTCGATGATACGCAGAAAATGGAACAAACCAAAAAAAGAATAACAACACTTGCTCAGTTACCACTGGAAGTGAACTTTAAATTTGAAGAACAGTCGGAAAATATGAATGTTAATGCTGACACCAGTACCAGTGGGGAAATACAAACATTACTTACTGGTAACCAACTAAACAGTTTATATAACAGAATACAAACAAGTGAACAAGAAATTGTTAAGCTAAAGGGAGAGATCCAGCAGTTGGAGAAAGAAAACAACAACATAAAAGAAGTGAACAGCAAATTACAACAGTGGTAATTTGAGCAATTTGAGCAAGTGTTGTTTTTCTTTTTTTGGTTTGCTCCATTTTCTGCGTATCTTTGAAACTGGCCCTCTTGAGTTCTCTACGTGGAGCTGTCGGTTTTGTCCTTGGAAAAACTGAAGGCAAGTGTGTTCTGCTAAGTTTTTCTCCTTCATCGAAATGAGCTGAGCAAATCCGCGTACTCGTAGTCTAATTTTAGTGTCTCGTTCCTCATAAGAACCACGTACTTTCTACGTATATCAGGGCCTTTAGGAATTCTATAATACTGAAGGTTAGGTGCATTTCTGTAACTATAAGTGCACCCTGGAATACAGCAGTTATAGTGCGTCATGTTTGTTTACCTTCACGCTGTCCCTCCAAACGATCCCAAGAGCCTTTATGGTCGCAAATCGAACTCAGACCGCTGCTCGTTTAAGAAAATGGCGAATTAGGTCTTGTCGGGTTGGAGAGGCTTTCAACAAAGAATCTTCATAATCGATTTCCTCAGGTTCCAGACATTTCTGTAAATATCATTAAGTTTGAAAGCATTTCCACCATGCACATCAGCGCATTCTGTTACCAGCTATTCAGCTGTTTGTTGGTTTTTTTTTTGTTTTTTTTTTGTTTTTTTTTTGTAATCGTAATACTGTTCATATCACAATGTGGTTTTAATCAAGATTTTTGCTTAACCTTTTTTCAAGATGCTCGAAGAAGAAGCTGAGTGAGAGAGACTGGAAGGCAATATATAGAGTTTTAAGTTTAGAAGAACCTCAACATTGTAATCTGCCTCTTACATAGCTTGCGCGACTTATTTAGAAGGCCATGTAGTGTCTTAACTACAGAAACAATTTCAATCCTAATTTACTTGGATGGAGACAGATCGTGAATTTCCGATAGGCTCAGAACTCTGTCTTTGTTTAAGCGCGATAAGTTTTTCTCTTGCTATTCTCCTCTTATAAAACGTTATTTTACTTTGCAAAGTTAGGAACCATAGCGAAAATCATCATTAAAGGCTTAAACGTGTCTCAGCTTGAAGAAGAATTAATTGATACTTATATTCGACGATTTTTTTTTTCTATGTAGCTTCGCGGATATGTTCAGCAGATTTTCTACCAAATTTCGAGAAATATGCTTTGACCATATCGTCAAAAAGGTTGTGCTCGTTCATACAGGTAAAGTACAGTATTAATAAAAGGCTTATTTCTTGAACAACAACTTTCATGTGGGTGCCCAAGTTTACGTTTTTTACCGACCTTGCTGTTGACCTTTATTGGCGTTCTTGTTTTAGCTTTGGCACACTTGGATTTATTGTTGAATTAAAGGTATTTATTGCCTTCTTGTACACTATTGAGAGTCTCGTAAAAGCGCTCAGACTAGCGTTTGTTAACGAGGTTTTCAAAATCCTCCAAGTTCATTCGGCACGGATGCCCATCCATGTTCACCGAAAGAGTATCTGATAATAATGGTGGCTTGTCCTAGAGAAATTATCGTCCACTTGGTTGCTCAGACGAGACACATCTTTGGATAAGTATGGTAATACTCCCAAGAAGCAATCTCCCTTTTCAACTTAACAATATTTACTAAACCACAATCCCTACAGAGCCTTGTGTACAGCTTGGATTTTTATCGTATCGATATTACAGATGGAACTGAAATTAACGAAAATGTGTTTTCTTCAACTTGAAAGCAGCGAACGTATGTTTTGATGAGTCTTGTGGACTTTTAATCAAATCAAATATTAATTTACCACAGAGGTCCATTTTCTAGGGGCTAGACGCTAGACCTGCAGAGTTGTTACGGTGCAAAGAGGTTCTTCCGTTAACCAAACTTGGATACTTACAATAGTAACGCTATAAAGTTGCGTTTCCCGAGTATCGAGGAAACCTCCATATAGCAATACCAAGCCCTGTCTCTAATCCACAGAAACGATGCTTGATACCAAATGACACTAACAAGCCTTTTCAACACGCTGGGTGTAAGAAAAGAGTTTCGTTGGACACCTTGGTCGAATCGAATGATGTAAAATGGTCGCGACTGGTTAACCTTAATCAGTTAAGCTAATACGATGTAAATTTCTGATAAGGGTAACATGTTATGACAACTTTGTTTGAACGGAAGACATGCAGGAAAGATATAAAATTGGCTCTCTAACAGCATTACTTCGCATCTCTCGTTCTAAGAACGGCCGTAATTTTTTTTGAAACATTGATTCACCAGATTTGTCTTAAGGTATTTTTTATTGCTCGTCTTCGTTTCGGAAGTCATCGAGACATAATCCTTGAGAAGTGGTCTCATTACGAGTCGCGATCTAATTAAATTACCATTAACGATAGTGTTTTGGTCATGAATTCTGTCGTAAGGTATCATATGAAGGATCAATTAAATGGATACTAGAAAGTTCGAATAAAATGATGGGAAAAAAGTGAAGAAGATATAAACATAATTGCCGCAGCGATGGAGATGCAAACCAAGGATATCTCACTGATATAAGTGAGGGTAATATGACTGAGTCGCAAAGGGCACTAAGTTAAGCGAACAAGTTTTTTAATCCGTTTTAGTATGCTGTCAAATTTATTTCATCAGTTGTCCACGCCAAGTCCGGCCCACTTTTCACTGTGGAACTTGAAGGAAACACTCTCCAGGGCAAATCTTCAAAGGTGCCGTGATCCTTAACAGAATTTTCAGCAAACAAAAGAATTAGATATAAAATTTCACTCTGGTAAGAAGTCCATCAGTCAATTCAGTGAGCTTTACAGATTTATACACTGGTCATTTCACTTTTTTCCGTTGATATTAAAAGCATCGAAAAGGATGTCTCTGTGTGTTAGTGACAGGCGAGTCAAGCTAAACAAATTATAGGTAAAACCAACTTAACGCAACGATTCATTATGTGAATGCAAAATTGAACACCGTCGGCATTTTTCAGTCCTTTTCGGGATCTTTCAAGTTTGGAGGGTGGGAGTGAAAGCATCGGGAGATTTTGGCATTGATTCAGTTCCGACAGGCTCTCTTCCCCATGTTGAATAACAAGAGGGCATAGATCTAGATGTAGCAGAAACCTTGCCAGTTAGTTCAAGCTAAAGTCAGAAACATCCTTCTTAGAAGTTTCTAAAGGAACTTTCTCTCGAACATTCTAGAACATTCCCCACATGGCATTCTAAAGCTTCTACAAAATTAAAGACCTCTATCATATCGGATTTCTTAATTAAGACACCTCAACGAAATGAAGGTTTTATCGACAATTTGTCAATGAGCTGTCAGGTAGACAGTCACTAATGTATCCGAGGTAAATTGAAAGCAATTCATACTAAGCATTGTAAAAGGTGAGGGGAAAAAATGAATCATTGTGTCTCTCCTGAAAGCGAGCGACATTCCTGCATGGGGCTACCAAGAGTCATGCACCCAAACTCCACGATACTTAGGTGCTCACGCGATGCTAACTAAGGATGCCATCGACGTGTGATTGATGTTTATGTAAACAAGTTGTGTAAACTGATTTCCCAGTTGGATTGAGAAGTAATATTTCAGGATTACAGAGCAAATACCCTGTCAAAGTTTCCTGTTTCAGAAATTATCGTATTTGCTTGGTGGAGGAAAACCTCCCAGTTAACGAAATTGTTGTGAGTCTTTCAGAAACCGATGCTAAATATTTTACCTTCTGAAATCATTTAAGAGGAAAATAAGGGAAAGATAGTATTTGTTACCATCCTGGTCGAGATAGGACGAATCTCTAAAGGCCTCAATTTAGGTTATGACTGTTTCAATTGTTCCAACATTGATTGCAATTGCAATTGCATGAAGCTGATTGGAGATTATTCAGTCAAATTCAAAATATGTCTACGGGTTTTCCTCTTTGTGTTTTAATTACAGATATCCCAAGCTCTAGAAAATAACGCTCCCAAATATCGTTTTAATTTCGTCATATACCGCGTAACAAAATCAATCAATAAAAAACATTAAAAATTAATTCAAGTTAACTACCGTGAGAGTCGCAACTTTCCTCTCGTTGACAGAAGCTGTGGCGCTAACGGAAAGGTAATGTTTCATCAAATATATTGAGCTGTGCCCTATGCCTTCAAAGCAATAGCTCCTTCACATTCACAGCTTACATTTCTCTCTCACAGTGCGTTACTCTTCACATTAAGGGTAATCAAAATGGAAAACTCTAAGAAAACGAACAGGAAATCACCAGGTCCACAAAGGCTGTGCGAAGTGGAAGTTAGGTCAATGCAACAACAAATTCCTGTATAATGGAAAGAACAGCTGTGTTGTTACCTCAACGGGTGCTGTACACTAAGAGTAAATTTTATGTCGCAAAATTAACAACCCAAAAATCCAAGGCTGACATGTTAGTTACACAAGTTTGTTTCGTCTCTTAACAAAGTTTCGAACGGTGAAATATATGAAATATATATGTGTCCTGCTGGTTGATACATTTTTTTTTTTTTAAAGGTGACTAAACGAAAACAAATATTTGTTGACGAATCAGATATCTAAGAACAAAATAACGTTTGCTATCAGCCATGGACTCATTCGTTTCTTTGCAATTATCAGGCAGTATAGATGATGATGACGATGACAGTGAACAATCAACAACTCACTGTTAGTATGTAGAGCACATGGACCTCAGAGACGCATCACGTTTTTTCGCAGTTCCAATGGGACAGGTTGTCACCAATGATAAGTGCCAGTCATTGTTACTTTTGGTGACCCTCATAAATGTAAACTTGTATATCACAGATGCATTGTCACTTTGGGACAAAATAACCACAACATACCCCTCAGACCAATTTCTTGGTCTGCGATTCGAGGCCGTTGACAACGTTTTCAAGCTGAGTCAAAACAGAAAGTTGACCATATATAGCCACACCTGGATCTCGTGCTGAAACGTTTTTGGGTCGGCCTTTCTCAAGCTCCGATCTTTCAGTGCTTCTTTCAATACAAGTCGCAGTTTATCCCAACGGTTTATTCTCGGTCAATCCTACGATGTGATTCTATTCAAGATGAAGTGGAGTATTTGGACGTTTCTTCTCCGGGTGTTGACCTCGGTCTCCCTATTTTTCCAGTTTTCAGCAGCGCAAGGTTAGTAACGAGCGTTGTGTTGTCGATGGTCAGTTATTTGACAAGATCCCTCGAAATAATAGGAATTGCTTCCTCTTCACAATCGCTCTACATCTACGAGAATACGACATATTTCAGTTAAAGGCGTTTTCTTTGGTCTTTTGCGAACCATTTAATCTACCGATTCTACAGCAAACTTCGATGACGAAGCCACAAACCGTATCAAAGCACAATTGTCTCTCCAATAAGCTGAGATTGATCAAAGATACTAAAAAAAAAAAACAACAACCAAATGTGTCAAAACTTCATTTCCGAATCCTTTAGATCTCAAAGAATTAATTTTTCAAATAACTTTGGAAGTTGAATAGTAGTATTCATGCCGCCATCTTGAACTAGAGGTCAATTAGCAAGGTATATGGTGCTACCTAAATCCATAAAATGTGGTTTAGCCATATTTTTTGTTTCTCTACGACCGGAAGCGATCCTTCCTTCTTTATAGTTTCGATAGTCACGCAGTTTTGTATGCTATGTAAACAGTGTTTTTCATGACAACAACAGCTACAAACTGTTTCTACGCTTTTCTTATCGTTTGTCTATCTATTTCTTTGTTGTTGTTTTTTTCTCGTGCCTGTGACTATTTAGAATTAAGAGAGTATAAAAACCCTTCAACAAAGCTCGTGAGTTAGATTACTTAATTTTCTTTAGATATTTCGTTTATCAAACAAAGATGATTGCACGCAACCATGTCTTGAAGTGTTGACATTTGGCTGTAGCGAACGAAATGCTTATTGGAAGAGGGTGGACAATGTTTAGTGGACCAGACGCTAAGAAAACAAAATAAACTGGGAAAATCCAAGTGGTTGAAATATGTGATCGGTTTTGTTGTTGTTTGACTGTTTTTATGTTTGTCAGTTTTCATGTTTGATCGGTTGGTTTTTTCGCTTTTCTTCTTCTTTTCGTATTTGGTGTCTCCTTTCAGCAATATTCTATTAAATAATCTTTTGTCAGATGATTTAAGTGAGATGGGTTTGAAATTAAGTCATGTGGCAGGAAGTTCCATCTACGAGTTCATCGGTACACAGAAGATTGCCATACGGAAAACGGTTGTATTTAAAGACCGAGAACATTCAGGATTTCACTTAAAAGATAAAACTAATCATGGAGGATTTACGCTTTGTCGTACGTAAATGTACTGTATTATATTCAAAGAAGGTAGGAGTGAGACAGCTTTGATCGCAAGCATTCGACTCAAAAACTCCACCGGAGACAAAGAAACAGAAA